CTCCTATCTCAGCATACCACTTTTATCTTGTTCAACCACAGTTAATCTGTTATCAATGTCTCCAATCTTCTTATCTCTTTGTTTATCTTCTTCAATTTTTAGTAGTCTCTCATCATACTTCATCATCATTTGTTGGATGTTCTCAACTTTTTCATCGGTTTTCCCTGTTCTTTGTTCAATGTTCTCTGTTCTTTGTTCGATGTTCTCTATTCTCTTTTCAGTATTCTCTGATCTTGTTTGAATGTTTTGAATTTCTTGCATAATCATCTGCAGGGTCACTTTTTCTCCTTCTTTTTCTTGTTCTTTCTCTTGCCTTAACATTGTCTGTATTGAACATTGTCCTCCAGATGGTGGAGAGGAGGAAGTAGAAGTTGAAGAACCAGGACCTGTTAATTTCCTACTCATTTCAAACAATTCAAAATCTTCAGGTTCTTCTAGACCTTAATCCAATTGTGAAGTAACCAATTGTGATTCCAAATAAAAATAGTATGGAAAAAGAAGCCAAATAGTAATAATAATAATAATAAAAAAGAATTTCTTCAGTTCTTGTATACCTTAATCCAATCGATTAATTAGATAACAATGAAAATTCAAAAATGAAAGAAAAAACCATAAACATACACAAAAGAGAAAAAGTTGTAAAATCCTAAAAAAGATGGAAAAGTGAGGAATAAAAAGCTTTTAAAAAAGGAAAAATTCTTCAGGTTCTTCAACACCTTAATCCAATTAAGGGGTCTCTAATATAAAAGGCTGCATAAAAGAAAAAGAAAAAAAAAAGCCAGGAAGATTTAAAAAAAAAAACCAGTATTGGAGGTAGATGGAGAAACAAAAGTACCAGAAAGGCAAAAAGAAAAAAAGGCTACTCCCTTGAAAAGAAAAGAAAGGGAATCATTAATACTAAAACTTTTCTTTTAAAATAAAAAGCAAACGTAAAAATTTAATTTCCAAAGACAAGCATAAAAAAAAAGCAAAGACAAGTTCCAAAGAACTAAAAATCCAAATAGCTATTTCAAAATGTAAACTGTTGAGGAGGGGTAGCACAGCTTTGAAAAAATCAAGAAAACACACTGCACTTTGTTTAGTTATCCAAGGCTCTTGTTATAACACTCTTCTCCAGAAACTTATCACATTTTCTTTTCCTATAAACTTCAACACCAGACTCCAGATGTTGATAGAAACCCAGAAGAGCATCTGCAATAATACTCTCGCATGCTCTTCCTTCTATCTTATCACATAGCAATGTCCTTGAAAAAAAGTCTCAGTTCTTCCTTTCTCAGCTTTGTCTGGTCACAAGAGAAATAGAATATTTCCAAGCCTCTAGTTGGCAGTGTTACAAAGTTTCTTTGCTTTCACTTTCCCCCTCCTTTTCCAAGCAAAATGTAATAAGAATTAATAAAACAAAAAAGAAAAAGATATTTTTTTAAAAAGAAATAACTAAAAGGGAGTCTCTAACCTAAAATATTGCAAAATCAAAAAGGAGAAAAAAATAGATGAAAAAGAAAAAACCAGTCCAGTTTCAAAATATAAGATCATGTATAGAAAATCCAGCTATGAGAAAAAAACATTACTTTGACATTCCTGTTTGAAATGGCCGCTTAATCACTTCTGTCAAAACTTTTACAGATTCTTTCTTTTCCTTAGGGTGTCCTTTCAGATCTTAGAATAAAGAAAAAGTTCTCACCAAACCGGCACATTCTCTCTTTCTGTTCTCTTCCGTTTCGAAGCTGTCCCAAATTCAGCAGCTTTAATGGCTGCCTCTTTGCTGCTGGCAAGGAGAGCTTCTCCTGGATCTACCAGGGACTTTGTGGTATCCCTGGGATCGACAGGATGCGCTCTTCACTTTCACCGCCTCTTCGGGATGGTTTAGATCCAATAGGAACGTCCAGGAGCAAAGATATCGGCAGCGAACTCAGACCTCTAAGATCGCATGCCGTATCATCGCAATGCCAGCTCCGCCTCCCCCCCAACATATTGATTTCTTAAAGAGAGTTAAAAGAGAGTTTCGGATACTCTGTATCAGAGGAATGAAGAATCATACAGAAGTCTCCTATATACACTGCATTAAGAGAAACTATTAGGAAAACTATATATGGAAAGAACATCTTCTCTCTTTATCAGTATTGTCCTCTATCACAATTGATTATTGGCTAGAATTAAAATTAATATAGACTTTCAAATCAAAACTAAAACTATTTGTTTATTAACTACTTTAAGTATACCAACATTACTGTATACACACACACACACACACACACACACACAATACACACACCCTTTTTTGTATTAAAGAAGATGACTTGTATCCAGACTTACATAAGCAGGATGTTCACCATTCTTCTCAAAAAATATGTTTGAGATTCAAAGAACATTCTGAATGGAATGGGAAATCCTTTTACGTTAGCAATTTTTGTACAGTTTTTGCTATGTTGAGAATTGGGTAAAAATATACCGTATTTCCCCATGTATAAGCACCCCCTTTGTATAAGCCACCCCCCCAATTTTTGGACTGTGAAGTTTTGAAAAAAATATTTTATTAGAGAAACAAGTTATGAAGAAAGAAAATTTACAAAGAAACAAAATTCGACGTCTAGATCTACAACTTCGGTCATGACGCCGAAAGCGGTGCGGGCGACGCTAGCAATCTACGCATTGGAACGAGAGTAGGAACGAAGCATTCAGGCCGATGCCTAGCGTATGCATTTCTATTGCGTACTCGCACTCGTAATCGTATCATCACGTACAATTTTTACAAAAAAGTATAGCATACTGCTGGAAAACCAGTTTATTCCTACTTTATTATTTTATGCATTTTTCACGTATAAAAAGTGTACCTGCTTTGTATATGCCACCCCCCTACTTTTTGGGCTTGAAAATTTTGGAAAAAAGGGGTGGCTTATACATGGGGAAATACAGTATTCCTAATTCTCAATCTCTACCACTTCAATTGGTCTTGTGCATTATTTATAGTGGCTTTTGGAGTTTGTCTTTTGAACTACAAGTCAAGCTTCCTTTTTCAGTCTTTTACCAAAGAGAATCCTTATTTTTAAGGGCTCTTAAGCTTTAAAACATTGCAGGAAAATGACTGTGAGAATTCTCTCTTATGTGCATGTGAGAATTTAATTTCTTCAGCAGAGAATTTTGTGCCTGAAATCAGATATACTTCAAAATAGTGAATACATTCAAAATTGATTCCATTCCATTTCCAACACTGCAGTCTATAGTGATTTCTTACTGAGCAATGTCTATAAAGTGTTCAGATTACAGGGTAAGTGTCATAAACAGGAGCTTACCTTGACCTTTTGTGATAGTTACCTACAAATAAAAGAATATACATGAAACAGAACTGTTCTTGATCAGATTCATTTACTTGCAGTGAAGCCCATTACAATTCCATTCTTAGAGTGATTATTCTGCAAAACTAATTCATGTAGTTTTGGACACACAGAAAGTGACTGTCCTGTAAATTGAAAAGGAAAATGCAAAGTGAAAATACAAATATTGTTTTGAAATATATTAATATATGAATGGTGAGTTGGTTTGATGTTATTAAGATGCCAAGACTTCAGGGACTTCCAAATGAGAAGGAGAAGACAATAAAGACAATAATGACTGATGAAATAAACCAAGGGAAAAGTACGTTAAGAGTCTTAAAGAATGGAATCGGATAACCTGGAAGATGTTTTTGAAAGGGAGATAGGGTTTGGGTGGATACTCTGGAGACCTGGCAGCTTAGGATGATAGAGATGGAAAAAATATTCAGTCTGAATGGGGAAGATACAGATGTTGATAGAAACAAATATCCAAGAGAGGAGTATGGTCGGCAGGCCAAAAAACGAATAAGAATTGAAGTATTAAAACAGAAAATGAATGAGAGATGATGGATAAGAAAGGAATTATTATATATTTTTTCTTTTTTTTAGTATGATGGCCTGATAGAAATTTGAATAGGTAGAAACAAGGTAGAAACAAGAATACACACTTCCATATGAAGCAATAGTTAGATGGAAAGATTGTAGGTTGAAAGATGGTATTATAAAGTATGTTTAAATAATAGGAAGACTGGTACTTGAATGGCGTATTGTGACTTTGAACAACCAAATAACGAAGGACTATGTCTTAATATAAACATGTGTATTAATACTAGGATTAGCAATGGTGACTTGATCAGAAGCTAGAATAAAGGTAGAAATAAGAAATAGGGGGAATATTAGCAGATATAATTTTTATATAACAGAATATGTAATAATTTAATGGAAAAAATCAGAGGTTGAAAGATAGTATTACCATGTATGCTTATAATATCATTGGCATTAAAATGGAATATTGAAATATTGAATAACTACTCTAAAAACATGTATATTAATGCTAGTATTATGTTTGATTAATATAACAACTTTTATAATTATCATTAGTTATGTTGTATCAAAATGAATTATACTTAGGGGCCACATTGTTCATGTATGTATACTTGATGTATACTTAAAAATAAAAAATTAATAAAACTTGGTGTGGGGGAAGATGCCAAGACTTCTAAGAACAAAATCCTTTCTGTGTTTCTAATTTACAAAAAAGCATTCCTGACTATAATATGTTACATTTCTTTATATTCTTAACAGGTGGTAGCAGTTGAGTGGAAATTACTGTAATCCACAAAAATGTGTTCCCAATCAGCTAGAATTCTTAGTAATTCTAATAATAACTAGTATTAATAATTCTGGTTGATCACTCTGGAGATTTTGAAATTAAGTTATACTTTCTCTTTTGAATTGTCAGCCTCTAAATTGCTTCTATTAAAGAATACTTTCCTAAAAAAAATTTCCAGGACTGCTCTAATTTCTTGCTTACCCTAAAATGATAATTGTAATTACTCACATAGGTATAGAAACATAGAAGGAGCATGCTATCATTTTGCTAGCAATTGTTCTAGCATTAAATAATCAAATGAACCTAGTTGTGAAATAAGGAACATAATTTTAATTTTCTTATAACTTTCATTTAAGGGCCAGATTACCCTCATGGATATTCCTGTATTTAAAGCTATTCAGCCAGAGGTGAGTGTTTCATAGAAAACTTAAAATAATTTGATAGGAAACAAGTCCCAGTTTTATTATGATGATGTCCATATTTCATCTACTTTTAATATATGGTAGATGCTTACAGAATGTATTTTTCTTTTGCTTTAATAGGTTTAATGGTTGATATCTGAATAGCTAGATAAGTAAAACATATAATGTAATAATTAAATATATTTTGCTGCTTAAATATTCTTATATATTATATTGGGTGGGTATAGTATAATACTGTATAGAAAATACTAACATGACAGTCCAGAAATTAATTTTAATTATGCACTGATTATAGCAATAATTTAGCAAAATCATTATCTACAAAAGGTTGCTCTTGAAGATCACCCAGAAACTGCAACTGGTGCAAGATGCAGGACCATAATGTGTTTTCCTAGATTCATTCACATTACATGCTGGTTGCATGAGTTCCATTGGCTCTCATTTCCTTTATGTGTTTTCTTAAAAAAAAATACTTTTATTGACTATTATAGTGGTATAGATAAAGAAGCAAAAAAGGTAAAGATGAAACAAAGATAAAAAGATAATAAAAACTGCAGACTTAATAAAGAATAAAAAAAGAAATTAACGACAATTTTAAAAAAGAAATAGAGATAGTCCTTAACATACAACCACAATTGAGCCCAAGATTTATGCTGCTAGGTGAGAAATTTGGTGAGTTTTTATGACTTTTCTTGCCACATTTGTTAAGTGAATCACTGCAGTTGTTAAATTAGTAACCTGATTGTTAAGTGAATCTGGTTCCCCCATTGACTTTGCTTCTCAGAAGATTGCAAATGGTGATTACGTGATTGAGGGACCCTGCAACCATTATAAATGTAAGTCAGTTGTCAAGCATCCAAATGTAAATCACATAACCATGAGGATGCTGCAACAGTCACTAAGTGAACTGTTGTAAGTTGAGGACTACATGTATAAAAACATAATAACCTCCTTCATCTCATTAAATATAAATTTGAATAACCGATCGCTTTCTCTTAAAATACAACAATCAATTTATCCCATATCCCATCGCTTATCTGTAGACAAATTCTTAAAACTTCATCATTCACTTCTGATTAGCAAAAGTCCACTAAAGGTTATAAGAAATAACATCTATTTCTAGCCTAATCACTTTTTTGCCTCTTATTCCCAAAGCTGCAAAATCCTCAACATCATACTTAAAGTATAAAAGGAAACTTAGCCATCAAAGTTGCTGTTTCCAAGGTTCTTAATATTTAAAAAGCAGTTAAAATCCTACTACTATCACTTTCAGCTGTAATGCCATAACTCACTCCTTTAGTGACATCTAGCGTCCCATGTCCTTGCCAGAAATTTTACCTTCTGGGTGCATTTCAAGCACACGCTATTAACGTTTAAAGCCCTATATGGCAAGGGACCAGGTTGTATGCAGGGCTGCCTATCCCTAAGAAGGCCTGCCCATCCAACAGGTTAAAAAGTGGGCATGCTCCTAATCTCTTACTTTAAATGTTGGGACTTAGGAAACAGTCCTTTTTTGTGGTGGCCCCCGCCCTATGGAACATTTTTCCTCTTGAGTTTTTAACCTTTTAAGCCCCAACCCCACCTTTTAACCTTCCAGAAATCACTTAAGCTAAAGGTAAAGGTTCTCCTCGCACATACGTGCTACTTGTTTCCAATTCTAGGGGGCGGTGCTCATCTCCGTTACAAAGCTGAAGAGCCAGCACTGTCCGAAGACGCCTCCATGGTCATGTAGCCGGCATGACTAAATGCCGAAGGCACATGGCACGCTGTTACCTTCCCACCAAAGTGGTCCCTATTTTTCTACTTGCATTTTTACATGCTTTCAAACTGCTAGGTTGGCAGAAGCTGGGACAAGTAACGGGAGTTCACTCCATTACGTGGTGCTAGGGATTTGAACCGCCGAACTGCTGACCACTGAGCCACCACGTCCCTAGAAATCACTTGAGACCTGGCTTTTCCCCCTAGGATAAGATAGGCTGAGATTGGTAAGATGAACTTCTGTGTTGCATAGGAAAGTTTAGCTGTGGCGTCAGGTCTTTTGATTTTTTGTTTGATTGTTTATTATAAACAAATGTTTTCTTTTTTGGTTGTGAGTCACCCAGAGATTGGTACAAGATGGGCAGTTATGTAAACGTTTTAGCTAATTTCATTAGTTATTAATATTCTGAAGATTGCTGTTCTTTTATCAGAAATAACTGCCCAGTTTGTGCCACCCTTTGTTCTTTGCTTTTATCATAGTATTATTTTATTGTTTTGTGAACTGCCCGAAGTTGCTGGAAGTCAGGCAATATAAAAAAGTTGACAAATAAATGTGGGTAACAGTAAATAATTTTTCAAGTAAATCACATTTGATATTCTTTATAATGTAAATACATACACGTACATCATGCTGTTCTCTTGCAGCATAAAAAGCATGCAGAACTCCAAAAGAATAAAATACATAGAAAAAGAAATTACACACAGCAGAAAGAAAAAGAGAATCTAAACTAAATTTAAATCAATAACACCTTTCCATACTTTTATCATCTTTGCAAACCATTTTCTTTTACTACATCCATTCCTTGAAACATCTATTACTGAATTCACATTCTTTGCTATGTTTTATTAATCCCATTTCTCTAGTGATATGAAAGAAGGCAAGAGCACTGATAAGACTTTTATGCTAATTTTCCTAAGGGCTGATCTTAGAGAGTGATTTTAGACTGAAAGGGAATTTTATGAAGAAGGCAAATCTCATATTTATCCAAAAATACATTTTAATCCAATTTTTTTCAAAACCTTTTTATATAAAAGAACGTGATGTGAACTAAAGAACATAATTATTTTAGGACTTATCTGCAACAAAGTTTGCAGTCTAGCATGTACCGTGTTTCTCATATAATAAGGCCGGGACATTTTTTTTTTGAGCCCCAAAAAAATGGCTAGGCCGTCTTTTCGGGGGTGACTTAATTCCCCCCCTCCTTGCATCTTCAGGCGGGCGGGCGGCGACAGCTTGGATGTTGACCTCGGTGTTGTTGGTGGGGCACTTCGTATCGGGGTCAATGCAGGCAGCACCATATCTGGGTATGCAACAAAAATACTTCCTAACGGCAACCCCCCCCCCCCCCCCCCCCCCCCCCATTTCGCATGTTTTAATATAGACCTTAATTTGGGGGAGGGGCTTAATTTCATTTCATGCCTATAAAACATGCTGGGACTTCGTATTGGGGGAGGCCATATTGTTGGAGAAACAGGGTATATCTTTTATACTTTTGGGAGACCTAAGTCAAACTAGAAAAGTTAACATTGAAACATTTATTGTTTTTAATGTAAGGTGAGAAACACTGAGTATCTTAATATAAAAACCAAGGGTGCGAAATGATTTACCGAGGTGGCATTTTATCCATAGCTGTTTAAATTACAAAGTGTCTTACAACTTCTAAGGACGTTCTTCATAGCAATCACTTATTTTGCTTTCTGCATATGGCAAGAAAATATATACCACCTTAATGATACTGATTCAAGACACCCAGAGTTTATCTGGACTGTTTTGGCTACTTAAAGTTTTTAATATGTTTCCTGTAGCAACCCAGGTGAAGATTGGGGATTGGAGGGAGCTCCAAGTAGTTTCTTTTTCTATGGAGTTGGAGGATTAGGTGATTAGAGACAGTTTTCAGCTTCATATTCTTGGTACCTAACATGACATTTTCCCATGTCCTCCACTTAAACCATTATAAAAACGTATAACAGTGATTTTAGCTACTGGAAAAGGTGATTATAAAATAGCTGGCATGCTGTCTTTTCGCAATCACAATTAACATTAGTATTTTTAAACCAACCAAGCAATTGTGGTTTGGAAAATTGCTGTCTGTTTATATCAACTGCTTACAATTTTTACAAACACCAGACAAATTGATATAGTATATTCTAGAAAAGTGGATTGGGAAGTCGAAGTGCTACCAACCTTATTTCCTTTTTGCCTTTGATGGAGATGAAGGAATTTGTGCTTGCATTAGGACCAGCTTGTCTAGGAATCCCATTGAATGCCCTTTTTGCTCTTTCCTATTGGTCAGTTGAAAAGAGAACACAAATTGATTCTTCTTTTCCCTGTTTCTTTTCTTCATTCAGAGATCTGCTGAAGTGAAAATTATTGTTCCAAAATATTTGTCTTGGGGTTTTAAATGATGCCATTTGGTAATGCCATTATCTGATATGCATGAACATAACTTTGTAGCTTGTTTTCTGCAATTCCGCTGATTTTTAAGAAGTTCAAGATACTGAATTGAGTTATTTTCCAAAATTAATTCAGACTATCAGGAAATAACATAGTTCCCCATTGTAAGCTATTGATAAACAATGCAAATGATTAAAATTATTTATTTAGAATATTTGTTTATTCAATTGATTTATAAAACTGAATTTATCCTTTCTGTACATCTAATATAAAATCTTGCTTATAGAAACTCTATCAATTATTTGAGAGCAGAAAGAACAGAATCTTCTTTTCAGATTTACAGATACTTAAAGTTATTATAAAATCGGATATTGAGATTTCTTGACATAGATATATATTTAAAAAACTATTTTGCTAAAACAAAATCATTACCGTATTTTGAATTCCTGCTGATTTTGGGGTCCAGTTTTCAATTCTCAAATCTAGTACTGTACACAATTGCTTTTTACCAGAATAGAAGCAGATTGTTTTATGTAATGGAATTAAAACTTTTAGGTGCTATACCAGGACAATTCTAATTTGACATTGAAACTATTCATGGATATATCTTATCTGATAACTTTCTCGCATAAGATAAGTCTTGTTACATGCTCTGCCCTTCAGGAGATAATAAAAATATAGGCTATTTAAAAGAATACAGGTAATCTTTGACTTGTGACCGCAATTGAGCCCAAAATTTCCATTGCTAACCAAGACTAACCAATTGTTAAGGTGAGTTTTGCCCCATTTTACAACCTTTCTTACCACAGTTGTTCAGTGAATCACTGCAGTTATTAAGTTAGTAACATGGTTGTTAAGTGAATCTGGTTTCCCCATTAATTTTTTTTTATTTGTCAATTGCTTACAGGATAATAGGTATAAGTAAAAACATAGTTATGAATACATGGATATATATAAGAAAAATAAAAAATATATAAAAGAAACAATAGGACAGGGACGGTAGGCACGTTGGTACGCTTATGCACGCCCCCTACAGACCTCTTAGGAAAGGGGTGAGGTCAATAGTAGAAAGTCTAAAGTTAAAGTTTTGGGGGTTTGGGGAAAAAAACCACGGAGTCAGGTAGAGTATTCCAGACATTGACCACTCTGTTGCTGAAGTCGTATTTCCTGCAATCAAGTTTGGCGCGGTTAACCTTGAGTTTGTATCTATTGTGTGCTCTTGTGTTGTTATGGTTGAAGCTGAAATATTCATTGACAGGTAGGACATTGCAATGTATGATTTCATATACTATACTTAGATCGGACCGAAGGCGGCATAGTTCTAGGTTTTCTAGGTCTAGAATTTCGAGTCTGGTGGCATAAGGTATTCTGCAACGAGTACAGGAGTGGAGAACTCTTCTTGTGAAATATTTCTGGACTTTCTCAACTGTGTTAATATCAGATACGTAATGTGGGTTCCAGACTGATGAGCTGTATTCGAGTATTGGTCTAGCAAATATTTTGTATGCTGTAGTTAGTAGTGTAATATTACCAGAGAAAAAGCTACGTAAGATTAGGTTAACAACTCTTAACACCTTTTTGGCTATGTAGTTACAGTGGGCTGTAGCACTTAGATCATTAAAAATGAGTACTCCAAGATCCTTGACAGAGTTTGGATCATCAACAAGGTCTTGACTATTCAGCCTGTATTATATTTTCTGATTATTATTTTTTTGCCAATATGTAGGACAGATCATTTATTTGTTGAGATTTGAAGTTGCCATTTGTTTGACCATTCTGATACATAGTCAAGGTCTTTTTGAAGGGTAGCAGAATTGTCTGTGGTGTTGAATAGCTTTACATCATCAGCGATGAGAACGCCGTTGCTCTTGATATGATCACAGAGGTCATTTATGTAGAGTATGAAAAGAGTTGGTCCTAGAACACTGCCTTGGAGGACATCACTGTTAACAGGTACAGAATTTGATAGGACGCTCCCAATTTTGACCATTTGTTGTCTGTTTGACAAGAATGCTTCTATCCAGTTATGCAGATGTCCAGAGATACCGTAATATTTTAGTTTTAGGAGTAGTTTGTCGTGTACCACTGAATCAAAGGCTTTACAGAAGTCTATGTAGATTGCGTCTATTGCTTTGCCCTGATCGAGTTGTGTAGTCCATATGTTTTTGCAGTGGAAGAGTTGCAGATTACATGATAGTTTTTTCCTAAAACCAAATTGTTTATTAGAGAGTAGGTTGTTTGTTTCTAAGTGGAGGATGATGGATTGGTTAATAACTTTGTCAGTAAGCTGTAAAAGGTGATCTCATGACCCTGGGATACTGTAACCATCATAAAGCTATATCAGTTGTCAAGCACCTGAATTTTGATCACATGACGGGGATGTTGCAATGGTCATAAGTGTGAAAAATGGTCAAAAATCATTTTTTTTCTGTGCCATTACTTCAAATGATCACTAAATGAATGGTTGTAAGTGAAAGACTACCTATAATGGTACTTCAATGTTTAAGTATTGGCAAATAAACAGTTCTTCAACAAGCTTCTGTCTTCTTTCAGTGATCTTATTCCCTTCTTGCAGTTCTTCCCTCCATTCTCTTCTTATTTTATCTTGTCCTTCCTAGTTTGAAGGGTGTTTCCAGTTATGGATTGCAGACAAACTCTAAACCATTCAGGCATTATAAATCTGGAGCACTGATCAGCTAAGCACACTGGATAACTCCCACTTCAGTGTTGCTCCAATGGTGTTTGAAGTCCTTTGAAGTTATTCATGTGTTCAGCACAAACATTGAGAGCATTTTCATTATGTTTCACATGAGCTAGAGTACAGACCATTCTGTGCAATAATCTGTGTTAAATTCATGAATGCTGCAGGAAAGCCAACATCATTTCAATGACATTGATAAGGGATGATTCTGCGATGGAGTCCCTACAGGTAAATGCTCCAGTTTACATAATGTCTGAATGGAGCTATTTTACACAATTAGTATGTTATTGAAAACTCCTTTTTTTATTCAGAAAATCATGAGAATGAGAAGACAAGGTTCATATAGACAGCAGCAATTTGTGGCTTATTATAAAGGAATCAAGCTAATAATATTGCATATTTACTAACAAAGTTTGCCTGAATACATTAGAGAATAGCACTTATTTTTGGTTTTGGTAACTTGAGAATTTTAGTGGAAATGTGTACAATTAGACAAATTTAAACATTAAAAGGGATGTACAAGGCTTCACACTTTCATTTATATACTTATGTCAGTTTAGAATACTATTCAACAGGAATTGCAAATGAGGTACTTCTGAACATTCAGAGATCACACATTGCTCAAGACGTGGCATTGTTCAAATTATGTTAGAATTCGCAGTATTTTTACAAAAAGCATATTCAGAATTAACATATCTTGCTCATCAGCCTTACCAGTAATATAAGGGAAAATACAATTAGAACTATTAATAAAAAGAAAAATCATGTTTTGTTTTGCAATCTGAACCCTGACGTGAAATTATTTCTTTCATTGTTCAACTAGGAACTGTCAAGCTGTGGTTGGAATAAAAAGGAAAAATATAGTTCAGCACCAAATGCAGTTGCTTTTACAAGAAGATTCAACCATGTAAGTTTTGAGACTAACTGCATACATCATAAGACTGGTGCAATTAATAAAACCGTATTATCTTTCTTTTTGTTGTTAAAATCTTAACTTCTGTTAAAGGCAGGGATATCTGTATACTCTCCTCTCCCATCTCTGCCCCTTCATTGAGGTTACATAACAAAAATAAGAGTAAACATCTCCATGTATCTGAATAATAGAATGAATCTGTGTTAACTGAATTCATAAGAGTGAAGTATTCACTCTAATGGAGTAATTTGCATCTTTTAACGTGACAAAGTGATTTTATAATGTGAATTTTTTTGATGGATTATTTCAGTATTCACGTTTTTATTAGCACTACCACCACTTCCCTTTTGTATATATCTGAATGTAGTCCTTTTGTTTTCAGGTAAGCTTTTGGGTAGTTAGAGAGATTCTTCATGCACAGACATTAAAAATAAGAGCTGAAGTCCTAAGCCACTATATCAAAACTGCTAAGGTAAGAAAATCTTTTTGGGAACAGTTTTAAATTTTAAAACTCCATTTCAACAGCCTATTATAATTTTGGTTCCATTTACTTATGATATGAAAAAACCACTATTGTTAATCAGTTATAGAAATTACAACTTATGGTAATGGTTCTTCATTATTGTTTGAAAGTTGCAGAAGTAGATTATGATACTGCTAGCGAGTTTGAAACTTTTCCTCTGAAACTGGCAGTACATATGTTGAATCAACTACAAATTAATTACATTTGTAAATAAATGTATGCCAAAAAGTGCATAACATTTTCTGGCTTCTACCTTTTGAATAATGAATTAAAAGTTTTGATTTAATGGTTGAATATTTCTCCTGGGCACATAGTACAAACAATAAGTATTTGTTGATGAAGTCATGAACAATATTAATGTTTGCTCATATCAGTCACCAAAATAATATTTATTTTACTTGGTTTTATCGTTTCATTTGCTGGAATTTTAAAATTATTTTCTATTTGCAACAGTTTTTCAGATTTAGAAGTTTTTATTAGAGTTCTATAGAAATATGTAATTTTAATTCTAGTGGTATCATGTATATTTATCAATAGACATAATAAATTTGGTGGAGATGTTAAACTGTAAACCATCAATAAGTCAATAGACTCTGGCAAGCACATGCTTCTGCTCTATACTATATTTCTGTGTTAACCCCCCCCCTCCAGTTTCTCTGTACTAAGTAATATTAACCTTAATTTTATACTTAAGGAGTATAAAAGTATGCTGCTAATCTCTTAACCTAGTTAAAGAAGTGGTTGTTGTTCATTTTGCCCGAGGCCAAGCTAAGTTATACACAAAAATCATATTTAGATAGCTGCAGAAGGACATAAACAGAATCTAGACTTCACCATATCCAAGAATCTTAAATGATTTGGGAATCCTTGTGATAGAATGGGTTGTGGCAAAAGGATGAGGGGAGAGGACGTGATTGTTGAATAATTAGTAGTGTTGCTTTCTGTTCCATTCTCAATGTTTCTTTTGTACTTCTTTCTCCCTTCTATTAAAAAATGTATCAGCAGATTCTGTCAATCCTCAAAAGAATATTATTTATACAACCTAAGGTCAGGCAAAGAGAGAAAGCATTTGAAAGTTTCTGCTTGGATCCAACCTAATCTAGATTGTATAGAACAGAATAGTTCTGAAGCTTTATAATTCACTTCAGTTTTATAATTCTTTGGCGGTTTTATTTTGGTTGGTTATCATTTGGTTGTATCCATTCTTTATTGTGCTGCATTCTTAGAAAATTGTTCAGAGATTTATGATTTAATATTAGTAAATAATTACCTGATATTGAGTTTCCATTTCTGTTCTTGTCTTCAGAAACTTTATGAACTAAATAATTTACATGCTCTTATGGCTGTGGTTTCTGGATTGCAAAGTGCCCCCATCTTCAGGTTGACTAAAACATGGGCGGTGAGTGAATTACATTAAATAATTGTTTTTTTATTAATAAATAACAAAACATTAATTATACAAGGAGCAGACCTAGCTAATGGATTCTACAGGCATCTTTGATATAAAGAAACAATTTATCTTACAAAATTCTTCAAAGCTTTAAACAAGCCTCTTTTATTTGTTCAATATAAGAAAATTATCCAGGTCACTTTCTTGATTTGCTATTTGTTTAATCCTTTTCTTTTGTATATCCAGTTTCTTTTGTATATCCACTGTAGCATCTTTTTCCATATTATTCTTGTAGCCTGTTATTTTTAAATCCAATTTCAAATCAGTCTCCATTTTGTCAGGTAAAACTTATTCCTCTTCCATAACATCTTTTAGATACAATAATTCTATAGAGGCAAATACTCTTAAAGTTAACTTCTAGGTTTAGTGCTCAAAAATATCATTCAGTATATTAGGATATTTTGCTTCATCACCAATCCAGTTTGAGTGTTGTCCTTTAATTGAAATTTTTAGTTATCTGTGGTGTCCAATTCTTAAATTACTTTACATTTTTTTAGGATTCAAAACATAAATATTTTTCCATGGAAAAAAATATAATTTATTTCAAATTAATCTGGACCCTTAATACATTTGTAACTTTCTAAAGTCAAAATTTTAATCACCCTATATTAAAAATAGTAATTTTTAAAGTCCTTAAGCTTGTATTTAAAACTTTTTTATTGAGGACTGAAGAAATTCACCAGGCATTGAAAAACCTGTTAATCCAAAGGTTTCTAGTATCTGAACAGAATTACCAAGCAGTTTGTAAAAGTGATTAGAAAAAGAAGTATGTAAATTCAAGATTCTTTGAAAGGCACCAACTGTAGTTTGAACAAGATGGCTATTCCCTTGTCTCCCTGAGCTCTAAACTTGCAAGAGACTGCTGGCTTGCAGACAGACTGCTTGTGAGGAGCAACTTTCTGAGCACTTATATGTGATCTTAAGTCCTTTCCTTGTCCAGAGAGGAGGTATTGAAGAGCCAGTCTACATACTGGTTTTTCATACAACTAGGGTTGTCGTCTCCATTCTTCTCAGAGTCATCTTGAAGCCACCATTTCTTCCCCAGAAATCCTATAGGAAAATTATAAGTGATAATTGTTTTCTGAGATGGTCAGGAACTGGGATTGAGGGATTGAAAGGTAGTGGTGCTTAGTGAATGGTTCTGCTGCTTTTCTGAGGCATGATTTCAGCCTCAAATAAATACTCGATTCTTTCAAAGGCCTCTAGCACTAGATGATGCCAATAGCAGTGATTAGAATGCAGCACTGCAGACTAACTCTTCTGACTGCCAGCAGTTCAAACCTGACCGGCTGAAGGTTGACTCAGCTGAGGTTGGTAAAATGAGGAGCCAGATTGTACTGACTTCACAAAACCACTTAGAGAGTGCTGTAAAGAATTATGAAGCGGTACATAAGTCTAAGTGCTGTTGCTATTTCTATCTAGAGGAAAACAAAGCTATCCTTAACATGTTTTGAAAGACTGGAAGCTTTTTTGGAAATACATAAAAAGCAGTGCAGAGGGCTATAAAAAGAAGAGATAATTGTTAGGTAACTTTATTAGATAATTCATATGGCCTCCTTCCACCTTTTCTTCAGTTAGGAGACTTCATTAGATTCTGATATATTCAGTATCTAGGGCAGTAATTCACACACACACACACACACACACGAACTTTGATGCTTTGTGGTCTTTGACACATTATCTAATGGCAGTTTATGATTTTTGACTTTGAAGTTTGCACTGTCACATTCTGTTGTGACTACCTTATTAAGAGAGAGTGGATAAACATTTAAAAACAACATGGGGGATAAATTTTACATCTATGGCTACTTTTTAAACTTATTTTAAAAATCATCAGAATATTAGGAATTTAATATGAAGGGTGATTTGGCCTTGTTGTTTGTCTTCTAACAGATTAAATGTCTGTTTTAAATGTTTTCTTGTTGGTCAGTTGTTGGTTTTTCAGCATTTTGTCATATAAAATACCTATTAAATACTTTAATATAAAAGGTTAGCTTTTGCAGTGATAGTTTTCTTTATTTTCCCAAAAGTTACTGAGCCGAAAAGACAAAGCTTCTTTTGACAAACTGGAATACATAATGAGCAAAGAGGACAATTATAAAAGACTAAGAGACTATATTGGTAGCTTGAAGATGACTCCTTGTATTCCTTATTTAGGTAAGATAAATACTTTATTTTTTTTTAGTTAATCTGTTAAAATACTGATACTGGCTGCAGTCTGTGAACCATTGTTCAACCATCAGTTTTACCATTGTTGTTTCTGTTTAAAGAAAGTATCTTGTGACTTAAGTTTAAAATTCATTATCTTTTCAATCTAAGGTAACATAATAAAGCTTGTGTTGCAAAGCTGCTTTAATCAGACATTTGACCCTTGACCAGCCTACAGTGGCTGATGATGATCAGGCTTTGCTATCTGCTTGAGGGCTAAAGCAGCCTTACCAGATGAAGTTTTCTTCGTTTTCTACAGAATCTGTGTTCTCAAACAGAGTGCTTTGAGTTGTGATTGCAAATAATGTCTGGATTTCATAACTATCATAAATTTACATATAATATATTTTAAAGTCTTTAATTATGTGGAAAATATTTTTTTTCTATTGAAGAATTTGACATCACAATGGGGATACTAAGAATTCAGTAGGTATAATATTTGAATTTTTATTGAATTTCATCACTTGAAAAAGAAAAAAACAAGAGGTCAATTCACCTCATTCCTCGTGTTGACATCATTATTACTGCTCTTATCCTGGGAGTCATTGTTTTTGTTTTTTTTAAAAAGAGTCCAGCTTAGTATATGCGTCCATATTTTTTTCCAACATACAGACACAGACACAGAGAGAGAGGGAGGGAGGGAGGGAGTTTTCACAGTTCCTATCCAACATCTCTACAAAAATTCTCGTCTATGCAAAATTCTGGGCATATGGACTTAAATTTTTGATTAGTTCTTCCTTCCTGACAACAAGGATAGCCACAAATTAATTGGAGTAATAGCCAATATCAATGAAATTTATTGATCTCTGCCTTTGACAAGTATGTTTTGCTACAATTGGACTTTAGCAGGGCAAGTCAAGGAATATATAGGTACATCTTAAAAATATTTCAGTAAATATGGAAAATGCAAAACGTACTAGGGATGTACACAGTATTTCAAATTCAGAATATTTTGAACTTGAAAAAGTGTGGATTTCCATTGAAGCCACAATTCTTAATTCCAATAGCAATTTTTTTCTGCAATGCTGAGCACATATTTACACTATTGATGAACAAGTAAATGAATTTGCCAAACATGAAAATAAAGATAGAAAAGTATTATATTACTATTGTGTATTTTAGGTAGTTGCATATAATAGTTAATCTATAGATTTATTATAGTATTGTGTAAAGACCATTCAATCACATCTTGGCCTCAGTTGCTTCATTGAAGTAGGTACATTGCTTGATTCAATCTATGGATAGTTCACTCTAAACATGATCTAGGAAAAACTTCAATAGATTGAAGTAAAAAAGATTAGAGATAAGTTTAAATGGCATTCAGAAATACATTATCAAAGTGTGTATATAAATATGGAATGGATGAACTCTTCTGAATTTCTTACTTAGGAGGAGACATTTACCAGTAATTCTCAAATGAAAGACATGCCCTTAGCAATAATAGTAAGATTACTACTAACCTACCCACGGATTTCCCTCATTTATGCCTTTTTTTAAGATTTAAATTTGGTAAGCCATGGAATCTGCCGACTGCCAGAGAGATGACTGTACAATGAAAGGTATCCACACAAAATCCCTAAATAAGTAACATTTTAACATTATTTCTAAAGCAAATTTAATGGGAATTGCTAGGAAAAGAAATCAGAATTTGTTGGCCAAGAAAAGATATAGGACAGAAGAATGGTCAAAGAGTATTAGTGAGAGTATTTATTTATATAGGTGCTCTAAAAGTAAAAATCTCCCACTGTCACTTTTATAACTTGAGAACTTGGAAATGTCTCTTCTGAGCTTCTTGTTCTGCCCATATTCAGCTGTGGATTATGCTGTCTCTTATCTGAATGTTCCCTAAGTAGCATATTATTACACAATCAAGACGACTTTTCAGGCTCCATGTTCACATTACTGAATTCCCAGGCCAGAAGGCAAAAATATGTTTTCAGGTCCTTTAGGAAGACCAGCAAGGTTGAGGCTAGCCTGACCTCAAGGAAAATTATGTTCCAAAGGGTGGGTGCCATGGCTGAAAAGACTTTCCTCTTGGGTCCTGCCAGGTAAGATAATATTCCTTCATGGAGGCAACCCACAACTCACATCTGCTCATCCCTGCTGATGGGATGAGTAGATGTGATTAAGGAGAAGAATAGAGTGGAGATGAATGGAATGGAATGGATGGAATGGAATGGAAAAGAAAATCGAGAATAGAGTAGACTAGAGAAGAGTAGAATAGAATCTTTATTGTCACCTTAAATGTATACTAATTAGCATATATTAAAATGAAATTTCATTGCATTCAGCTCTCAAAAGACAACCATTATGCATCTATTCACCTACATACACATATATGACACAGAAAAACACCACAGTCTAGTTTGAATATATACATATGCATGGTGAAAAAAAGAATCCTGCGAATTTACAAGATAGATGGCATAAGGAACAAAGCTGTTACAGAATCTGGTAGTCCTGCTAAAAATACTTGTAAACTAGTGGGCTGCCACCGGTTCGGACCGGTTCACCTGTACCAGTAGTTCTGACCACCAGCTGGGTCCACCCACCTGCCCCGGTACTATCCCATCCTGTATATCTCAGTCTGGCTCGCTCACCCCACCCACTTAGCCCAGCTGATTTCCCCGTCTTGCTCTCCTCACCACAGCTGCCCGAGAAGGTGTGCTGGAAGCCGCATGCATGAAATCACCATGTTTGAAGTCATGTGGCCAAGTGAAGCATCTGTTCACACAATCACATTTTCGGTTCTGCACTAGGCAAATTGATTGTTAAGTTATGATAAGCCCATCTCTGCTTGTAAACCTCCTCTCAGAGGGGAGCAACAGAAACAGACCATGAAGTGGGTATGTGGGGTCTCTAACAATGCTTCGAGCATTGCTGTAACTTATTTTAATAAAAAGTGTCATAAAATTGAGTCCAGTAACATTGTGTCTCAATTTACGACCACAACAACTTACGACCAAAATTCTGGATCCAGTTATGGTTGTAAAAGAACTACCTATACATTAAAATGCATATAAAACATATCTAATGTAATCAATCTTACCATTACAGATGGTATTTAATATTTAGGAAGTTGAGTTAATTATTTTTTTAATGAAACCTGTATTTGGCTGTGTGATATGCTAAATTAAATCGCAGCTTTTAAGAGATTGAAAATATTATTTTGGATTATTGCCTGGGATATAGTACTGGAATCTTTTGAATATTTTTAAACTAGTAGATCTATTCTTTACAATTATCATAAAAACAGTTGTTAGTCCAGTCACATCGTCACATCAATTTACAACCACTTGTACATATTTTAATTCTAACTATAACATATTTTTAAACACATTATTGTTATTAAATACTACTGAAATCAATTTATTTCACAGAACATGTCTAGTACATTGAATTTTATTAAAATTATAAATTAAGTAGTACTCCTGAAACAGGTCATTCTTTAATGAGTATACAACTTTGTTTCTTAAATCTTAATTCCAATTTGTAACATAGGATTAATAACATTGATCTAATGTACAATGTTGTAGCAAGGCTTCCAATTTTGGATTTGACTTTCAAAGTAACGTGTGGTTTCTGATCCAGAGGAAGTAGGATTCCCATATCTTAAGAAAATTGGGCTGTAAAATGCAGGCAGTTAATGATGACCACGTCCTTAGCGATTATTCAAAGTTATGATAGGACTGAACAAATGATGGTTACAACTAGTCCTTGAATGTCTGGCCATCCCAGCACCCTCCTGATCATGGGGTCATGATTTAGGGGATCCAGTTGGCTCTTAACAAAGTTAAAGTTGCAGCACCTTGTGGTGGCATGAACTTTATTTGTGACCTTCCCTGCCTGCTTCCCAATGTCAATAGTGAAGTTGGCAGATAAGGTCACAACTTGCTTGGATAAGTCTCACCAGTGCACTATCTCCCAGCCTCTCTCTTCCTGCATCTCACCAGCCACCTATACACTCTGACACACAACTCCTTGGGACATTCAGAATTTATATGTTGAATCCCTGCCACTTGCACATCCTTCTCCCATGCAGCAGCAGCAGCTACCCCAAGTCCTTCCCCACTCTTGCTGTGGCTCCCTTACTATTAATGCACCCTCTTCCAGCCAGCAGCAGCAATCCCAAGCCCAGCCATATTTCCACCATGCCTCCCTCCACCATGCCTCCCTTACCACTCATATACCTCCTTCCATCCAGCAGCAGCCACTGGCTATCTGCTTGCAAACTGCCTTGAACTTGCAACTTCTGGTCAGCTTCCTGTTCTTTTTTAAGGTTGCTGACACATAGACAAAAACAGAGTACTGTAGAAGCAGGAATATTTACTGCTATTTAGGTGGATAACAGCAGATAACAGCAGACAGGAATGAAATTCAAATACCCAGTAAAGAATGATTGCCTGAAGGGAGTCAAATACAATCAAAGATATAACAGCATAGTCTACAGATGTTCCAAAAGATCCAGGATGCCAAATTGGGCAGTCAGCCAGTCCAAAGGCCAGGAGTCACAAGCAAGAAGCAGAAACATGATTCAAGAGCTGGATAACCAAATGGTTGTTTGCAACAAGGATTGCAAGATCAGGAACTAATCAAATCTGTCTGCAGTCCGCTGACTGCAGTTATTCATGCTTTGCCCTTTGTTTTATTAGAAGCCTCATAGAGGAATGTTGCATTGCTCACTTCTGTATGAGCCTAGATCTGGGACGTGGAAACAGGAGATACCTGTGACTGATGATCCATAATTGAATCCTGGCTTGCTGATTCCTGAGTCTGACTGTTCTGTAGTACAGGCCAGCTGTGGAGCAACATTATCAGATTCATGGTCAGAGTCAGACTCTGGATTGTGGCTAATAGCACTTCCCACTGACTTTGGTTGCTGTAAGCCACCAGGAAGTTACAAGGAGCTGCTTGCTTAAGGATGCATGATCTTCACTTACTGATGGGAGTGGCAACTGCGGGAATTGCCATTCTAAACGATGTAGTCACATGAGATCACACTTTATTATTGCGTCATTTAGTGATGGAAATTTTTGAACCAATTACCATTATAATTTAACTATCTAGTAACAATTGCCATAATGAAATGATAGTACTTTATTTGATGCAAACTACACTTGCAAGTGTAGTTTCTTTCCAATTCTTTTGTCTCATTGTCTGTAAGGTTCTCTAAAGCAGTTTTTCCCCCCTACCATTAAGGTCTCTGAAATAAAAACTGAAATAATTTTAATCATATGAGAATGAATTGATTTGACTATTTAACACATAAGAAAAATGTTTCATACTTGAGTTTTTAAATGTAATCATTTTACACATCTATTAATTTTTCCTCTTGATCTTGATATTAAACTGGTAAGTTTAATAGCTGCAGTTAATATTCATACTTTACATGAATACAGAATTATTTTAAATGAAGCCATCAGTTCTGCTTTGTAATTAACGTGTATATAATCAACATATATAATATGGTGAGAATTTAAAAAAAATAGTAGACTTCTCCTAAGATTTTCAAAAATGACATCTGCATCAAACTTAAGGATTATTTTTTTAAAAAAACATTTTAGCAGTCTCAATCAATAGGTCTAATCATCATCTGAACTGCTTTCAGTGAATATGAGCCTCCTCTGTATTCAGCCCAAAAAATCCCATCCTGATGTTTGCTTCTGTAGTGTCCTCCTCTATACCATACTCCATTGAGATTAGAATGAGCACAAGCAGTGTACCACCAACCTCCTTTATGAAAGTGGGCACAATTTCCTGCAGAGAGAAGCAAAACATTAAGATACATTTTACATCACATCACAAAACATATTTGTAATTTACTTAGTAAAAAGTCAGCTTGTTAACAGATTATATCTCCAGTGTTTGGCCATGGACACTATTGTTACTATTTTAGAGAAGGATGGTATTACTGAATCAATCAACTGTATTTATAAAATCCTCATTTTAATGAAGACCTGTTGGTTCGGATGAAATAATTTCTATTTTAATGAGGAAAACAACTACAATAAACCTTCAAGTAATTCCCTCTTCAAATATTTGTCTCCTGCATCATTCTCATGATAGTATTTAGTATAGAGCGAAGGAGAATGAGCCATTAAAATGAAAAGAAGTGGCAAGAGAAAAAAATAGTTGTGTCAAGTCAAATAGCTTTGTGAAATAGCACAAACAAGAAATGGAATAGAACTTAAGAGCTAGTGATTGTACTGGAATAGAATTCTCAAATGCATTGTATAGGTACTAAGAAATAATGCCGTGATGGCGACTCTATGGCACATGTGCCACAGGTGGCACCCAGAGCCATTTGTGCCAGCATATGAGCTGCAGGCAAACTTACCTCACTGGGCATGTGCACGCCTCACAGCTGATTTTCGGTTGGTTTGAGGCCTTTTTTGGCCTCCCAAAGGCTTGAGGAAGGCTTCTGCAGGTTTTGCAGGCCAAAAACTAGCCCCATTCATCACTTCCTGTTTTTCTGAAAATACCGGAAGTGATGAAACGGGGCTAGTTTTCAGCCTGCCGAAGCCTTCCTCAAGCCTTTGGGAGGCTGAAAAAGCCTCAAACTGGCCGAAAATCAGCTGTGAGGCGCAGTGCAGGTAAGCGGGGTAGGTGGATGCGGATTATCCTCATTGCTTTCTGGATTACACATTGCTTTCTGGGTGCTGGCACGCGAATGCGACCGTGCAAGCACATGTACAATTTTTGGCACAGGAGCCCAAAAAGGTTAGTCACCACTGGAATAATGATTCCTATGTTCCATTTATTTGATGGAAGCTTATTGTCATCTTCAAATAGGGAGGAATTTATTATATCTGGTAACTATTTTGAGAAAAGAAAGGAATGCTCCTAAATGAATACATGTGTATTGGTTCTATCAGCTATTTTGTCCTACTTTTCTATTAGATAAAAATAGAAAATAATAGAATTATTTTTCCATAATTCTTTAAAAGTAAAGAATTACAGAAAATAAATTGTGCATATGGCCAGCTGCCTGAGAAGAAAGCAAGTTTTATGATCATCTAAATGATCCATAAAGTATCTTTAGCATTTCGGTAAAATTAAAACCATATAAAATATTCTTTGGCTATAACAGTTCCACAGTTACTTTTGATAATTGAATTAAACTTAATATTACAAAGTACAATTCTGGATAAGCATCTGTAGTTCTTTATAAGTCCAAAGAATTAGGCCAAATCTTCAGGAAAATCAGATCACCACAAAGCTTATTTTCTCTGTAGTTTTATATATTGTGTTGAGTGTGATATAGTTTCACACAGTCAGTTTATTGCAGTTAGATGCACTAAAATAATCAATGGCAGAACTGTTGCTTATGTATACATATAAAACAGAAAAATAGTAAGTAAAATAAGATATAAAAAATCAAGGACAGGTATAATAAAAAATAAATAAAAATGTTATAAGAAGTTCCAAACTTAATGGTGCAGTGCACTGTACATTTAGTAGCACAAAGCATGGAACTTGGAGATTTGGAAGATATTTTTGAATCCTTTTTGAAGTAGAAATCACACTCCCTACCCAGAAATTTGTTCAAGATCCAAACCTCTGGTTTCTTTACAGATCATCTGAATCTTTTGCCTTTTTCACATAGTCAGAACAGATACTTTCCCATGAGAAAAAAGCCTTTCCACCTTCTTCAATGTAAATCGTAACTCTAAGCATATGATTTTATCATTGCCAAAAGTAAGATACAGGTTACTTGTACATGCCTATATGGATCATTCTAATTGAAGATATTTTTATGTTAAACAGAGTACTATTTTGCAAAGTCCTCTTATCTTCCCAATGATTCATCAATTTCCTCAGCTTAGCCAGAATAAGAAGTATATAGATCTAAATAGTACTAATTCTTACCTGTGTGCATATCTCTATCTCTGTCCAGTGTTGTAAATTGTTTTCCATTGTGCCATATCATGGAATCACCAGCATTCCCTTGATACGTGCCTAAACGTAGTCGATAATATTCACTCTCTGGCTCCAGTCGAAAACTGCTGTATTCTGCATAGACTTTCTTATTACTCCAATCTTCTAATTCAATCAAAAGTCTGTAATTATCCTGATTGGAGAGCAAGTAAATATTTTCCAGTCCCAGCCAGTATTCCCCAGCAACATTTCCAAACCCTTTCTGTAAACAAAGCAGAAAGTTTATTAAATTGCCTTCCATTTCTCATATAGAAGGTTTTAATATATAATCAATATATGAGGGTTGTATCTTTGATGCTCTAAAAGTTTTGGGAAAAATCCAATAATTAATTCACCTTTGACCATAAACACTGATGTGTGGAAAGTTCACAGACTGACACATTGATTGTCATCTTCCCTCCAACTCTTTGATAGAGAGGGCATGAAACATGTTGCAAGTGTGAGGCTTACGTGTGGTTTCTAGAATTTTGTTTGCCACTGGATTCTAGCAATGAAGCAGCTTGTTCCCAATTTACTAACTATAGCCTGTCCATACTAGTTGAAGGAGAATTCTTAGTATTGTTAGAATTAGTACTAATAAAATATTTGTATTATATCACTAATGGGAAAATGATTTTATTAAAAATGTTTTAATAAATAAATTAAAATAGATTAAAATCACGTAAATGGGTGGGAAATTATATGAAATAGTATATATTATTTTTGTAATTAAGTATTAAATTTAAATATGAAAGATGATCTAGCCAGTATTTTTGCTTTGTGCTTTCTTTTTTCTTGCAGCCAATTTATTTCTTAGGAGCATTTCTTAACATGCTGCGCTCCAAATACATTGTTTATCTCTTGTAGCATCTTCAAAACTTGTCCCTTGTTCTCCCATGTCTGATGTATATATACTATCAACATTTTGTACATTACTTTTTGATAGCAGACTACAAAGTCTTTCTTAGAAGAATTTTTTTTCCATTCTAGGGAGAAGAGGCAACACCCCATTAAGATGCTTGTAATTTTTCACAATGTCATTTAAACAATTGTAGACAAAGAAGAGTTGTGAAATAAAAGCATAATCTGTTAATGATAATTTAAAACTCCCATGCCCAATTAACAACATAATCCTGTACATATTTTCCCAGATCGTTCTGTTCAGGATTGTGATCTGAAACAAATCCAATTCTTTATTTGTATGAAATTTACAATAAATAATTCTCCTTAATAGATCAAAAGGTAAGACACTACTCAAAGAATCATAATACTGATTTTCATAAAACTAGCAAGAAGGGGAAGTAAAAATAGTTTATACAGTAGTGATTTGTTAATTATATGAAGCACCATATCTTTGATGCTTTCCATGCAAATGCTGAACCAGGCACAGAAAATTATCCTATGTGGGCACACCTTTAAATAATTTCACATAGATTTTTTGTTTCTTTACATATATGCCAGCTGTCCGGTTCGTGATGCTTTGCAGATATATTGGAATCTCACAAATGGTGGTCATTGACAGGAAAGTTGTAATCCAGCAAATTGAGAGAGTAACAAAAAAAGTTTATAAAGGTGGTCCTTGACTTACAACAGTTCATTTAGTCACTGTTCAAAGTTATGAGACTGAAAAAAGTGATTTATGACTATTTTCACCATTACAACCTTTGCAGCATCCCCATGATCATTTGATCAAAAATTCAGATACTTGGCAACTGGCTCATATTTATGACCTTTGCTGTGTCCCAAGGTCATGTGATCACCTTTTGCAACCTTCTGACAAGCAAAGTTAATGGGAAAGCTATATTCACTTAGCAACCAGATTACTAACTTATCAATTGCAGTGATTCACTTGACAACTGTGGATCATAAAATGGGGCAAAACTCATATAACAAATGTCTTACTTAACAACAAAAATGTTGGGCTCAATTGTAGTTGTAAGTCAAGGACTACCTGTAGTAACAGTACATTGTAAATTGCCTCCTGGATATTTTTTTATGATTACCTTATAATTGTCCCAGTTTGTGAAGAAGTTCACAGAACCATCTGTCCTTTTTTGAATAACTGTCCAGCCCCCAGGATCAAGGCTGTTCTCACACCATAATTGCACTGGTCCATGACTGTTTTCAGTCTTGATCATATAAATCCCACTGCTGGAATAGCCAGTTTGTTTGGCTTGATGACAGTCTTTGAAAGGGCCTGTTGAAAACAAATTAGCATTTTTAAAATATCTATTGCTTTTTACTAGTATACTGATATGTATAAAAGAGACATTAAATACCATTATATTTTCTTTAGTGACAGATGTTTACTTTTTTCATACTGTTCCTTGACAACTTGTATATTAGTATTTTCAAACTTCTTGAAGAAACAGATAGGAGGGATTCTGCCCATTTTTAAAATTTCAGATACAATATATACTTCTGGATTTACCTATTTCTCAAACTCATTCCAAGTTTTGTTCTGTACTTTGCTTACTGGCTTAGTAAACTTGTCCAATCAAAGCAGACATTAGTTTTGACAGCATACACAGATGTGATAGGCTTAAAAATAAACAATATTTTATGAGGTTATAACTAACAATTAAGAATCCCTGCTATAAAGTATGTTTTCTTTCTTATGTGAATAAATGAAACTTTTAGTTACTGTAAGTTTGATTTCATGGGCCATCTTGGAATTGGCATATATGACAATTGTCAAAAAATAGGCAGGTATTGGAGTCCAAATGTGGCATTCTTCTACATTACTTTTAGGAAATTATTGTATGCAATTCACATAAATTCTTGTTTGATCCTCGTGACCATGTTACATTAATGTTATGGGAGAATCTAAACTTGAGAATGGTAAAAACATTCTTTTATTGAGAATGTGGATGGAATGTGGAATGTATATCTTAAAGCACTTAATATTATGACACTAATTATTTGAAGAGATGTGACAAATATGATTTTTAAAAATGTGTAGTTTGTTAATATGTTCACTTAAAATCTTGTATGTATGTATGTATATGACTTACAGTACATAGCATTCCAGTTGTTGCAAACATTGACAGATACACTTGAAACACCAGCCTTTAGTGCTGTACAACTGCCCCTAATAAACAGAATGTTTTGAACAAAATAAAATATACAATACAAATAGTTGATGGGCTATACTGATTTAGATGTATAAGAGGAGGAGAGTTATGGAATAAGAATTTGAATTTTCAGTTCATGAACATTACTCTATAATGCCTTAGTAAGACCACACCTAGAGTACTGCATCCAGTTTTGGTCACCACATTATAAAAAAGATGTTGAGACTCTAGAAAAAGCACCTAGAAGAGCAACCAGGATGATTAGGGGACTGGAGGCTAAAACATACAATGAACGGTTGCAGGAACTGGGCTTGGCTAGTCTAGTAAAGAGAAGGACCAGGGGAGACATGATAGCGGTCTTCCAATATCTGAGGAGCTACCACAGGGAGGAAGGAGTCAAGCTATTTTCTAAAGCTCCTGTAGGCCAGACAAGGAATAATGGATGGAAACTGAACAAGGAGAGATTTAACCTGGAAATGAGGAGAAACTTTCTGACAGTAAGAACAATCAACCAATGGAACAGCTTGCCCTCAGAAGTTGTGGGACCGCCATCAGTTGAGACTTTCAAAAAGAGATTGGACTGCCATTTGTCAGCAATGGTGTAGGGTCTCCCGCTTGGGTGGGGGGGTTGGACTAGATGACCTACAAGGTCCCTTCCAACTCTGATTATCTGTATCTGTAACTTGAAGATAATTCTATTCAGTCTCCTGTACTATGGAAAAGCTTTCTTTAGAGGAATTGAGAGTAGAGGCAGATCTACTCACAAATGTAACCAAAAATAGTTGAAAGATCGCTAAGTTCTTCCTTTATTTCTAAAATCCAGAGGGCAGGGTTGAAACATTACACAAATGATGTAAGATTTTAAAAATGAGGCATATTCCTGCAACTTAGTCTAGAGGTTTCTAACTTTAAAAAAAATTCTTTGGAAGCCAAAGTATTAGAAGAACATTTAGAAGAAGAATTTGAAGGTTCTTTAGTTTATAATAATGTGGAACAGAATTAGAGAAACAAAAAAACACGCCGAAGCAAAACAAAGATTCCTTTATAGAGAAAATAGAAAACTCAGTATAGGGTTGCATAGCATTGTATATATACTAATATTCTTGGCTTCAAATGTAAAAAAAATCTAAGACAAAGGATTTGATCTACTCCAGGAATTTAAGATTAAATGTTTAGAGTCATATGCACTATTGATTCCACTTTCCTGTACAGTGCATAAATTCCATTTAAACCATCCCAAACAGGATTATCTAGCCTTCTCTCGAACATATCCTATAACCCTATAAAGGATCTCAAACTGAATTGCAAAATTTTGTTAGGACTCTGAAGAGGTTTGTTATGAATTCAGAGTGTTATAGAAAAAAAGTAACTGTGTTTATTGGGTTTATGGTGTTTATATTCCTGAGCAGCTTTCTAATCACGTTATTTTTAAAAACTTCCAGCAACAAATTGAATTATATTTAAATATTAAATTTAGTTATATTAAATATCAAGAAGACCCTTCTCTTACTGCTTTATAATTGTATCAGCTTGTCAAGAAATACAAAGTTTTAATTAACATCTCTAAGAATGTGTGAATTATATAACATACTCTGTATACTAACACAGAGTTACAAAGAAGGATGGCAAAAAACAGTTTTATTTGTATTGTGCCTCTGATGCAGGGCTATCTTAAATGCATGGGCTGATGGGCACTTGCCCAGAGCCCCACAAGCTTAGGGGCCCCATACTAATCTGTGTATGTTAACCCTTCAATGCACCTTGTATCCTATAAATATAGCAACATATTCATTACATTTTACTGCATTTTTAATTAATACTAACATGCAAATATATGTTTAATTTTATCGACCATTTATGGTACATTTTTATTCCTGTGAGTAGTGTTGTAGGGGCCCCAGTACATGGCTTTGCGTGGGGCCCATAATGCTGTTAAGACAGCCCTACTCTGATGCATGTCAGCAGATTGCTGATAAGTGCTACACCCTTCATTATCTCCTAGTATATCCTTTCATGTTTCTTCTCACTCCAAAATCACTACACTTGTGTTTTCAGACAGCAGCACATCTATATTGTGTGCCCTGTTCATTAACATGACTCTTGTTTATGATTGGTTAACCAAGTTCTGTATGCTGAAACTCTGTAGGGTTTATGCCCACAGAAGTGGCAGCTATGCCTGAACAATTTATACAGTATTGTGTAGCCTCATTCATTAATATTTACTGTGTAAATCTAAACACCATGGAGTTAAATGACTACTAGTTGTGTTCCTTTGTTTTTTAGATCTAGAATTTCATTTGACTTTTTTCATTTTATTTATTTTGCCTTCTACTAAATTATTCTTTATATCAGCTATTTATTTTGAATAGTTTGTTGTTCATTCTTTGAATTCTTTTGAAGTGGCTAACTGTGACAAATAACAGATTCACTCTGGAAGTAATGCAAGAAAAAAATAACTTCATTGACAGCAAAGTTGTAAATAGTGCAATGAAGGATGTAGATAAGATTTAAGCTACTATTTCAGGTTTTTTTCATCAAGAACTATTCTATTTGTGGCTTTAATTTTTAAAATAAATTTAGTTTTTGTTATTGTATAAAAAAAATAGACTGAAAGCATAATAACATGGCATGGCCCCAACAATACAGTATTTCCAAGATTCAATCAGTATAGGAAAAGCTTTTCCCATAACATTTGTATTCATTTGATGCCACGTGCTTGTCCACCTCTCCTGAACCTTTTCCAGATATATCTTTAGTATCCTATTCTCCCACTACTTACTAGGTTAATAACCACATAAAGCTAAAATCTACCTTAACTTACTGCATAAAGTAAAATCTACTTTGACTTTCTAGAAGGCATAGTATAAGGGTTTGGTTTGTACAAGTCTTAATAGCTTTTACCACTACATTTTTTAGCTTTATAATTATTGTCCTTACAGGTATTAGATTTATGTTTTACATTGTAATTGTTTTCACAGTTTCTATATTATTTATGTCAGCCTGAATATTACCAAAATAAAGATTCCATTGTTATAAAAACTTATATCCACAAGGGGGCATTCCTTGCATACATAAATATGTCAAACACAATCCTTCTATATTTTGTGGAAATGCTTAAATACTGGACTGGGATAGGGCTGTTCTGATAAAAGTCCGGAGAACTATTAGATGACTGTAAAATGATATACCTATATAAACTTGCTGCCATCTACTTGTTGTTAGATGTTTACAGCCCAAATTGGCTAATAATACTGCCTAAGAGCAGCAAAATAGTAACTGCTTGATATTGCTAGATAAGATTAAGGAAATAAAGGAGAGAGACCCTTCCTTAGTCTCCCTTAACATTATAAAAATTTTAGACTCATTGCTCAGAATGCTACTTGTATAGTTTTCATATAGGTGATGCTTTTAAAAGTTTTGATATATTAGCTAAAAATTACAAAGGTTTCAAATGCATTTATCTGTTAGAAATGTTCAAATTAAAAAGAAAAGGCTTACCTTCATTTATTAAAGTTAATGGTGGAATCTTAAAAGGACTTTTTGTAGGAGAAGTAGCTGGATCAGGGGGTGGCCTTACATCTCTCTCTCTAGGATAACCTGGATCTCTCTGAATTTCATTACTTCCTAGCAGCGTAGGGTTGTAAAGTGGATTGTTAGGAATATGATGAGGCACCACTGGAACTAATGGTGGTGAACCATGTGCATCCTGCCGTGAGAATATTCGCAGACATTGTTCTTCCAAAAGTGTGATGATGACCGATTGATTATTTACAAGGTCAGTTAGCGCTGCATATTTTATTTCAAGCTCTCTGTACCTTGATGTCATCTTCAACATTTCAGTTGTAACGTTGAGGATTTTGTTTTCCAGCTGGGAAAGCTCTAGTGAATTGTCTCGTTTGCGAATTATCTCATGCAAGAGCTGCATATACAGTTGAGTAACACGTGAGTTCATGTTGCGACTCTCTTTTCTCAGCAATTTTACTTCATTTACTATATTTCCATCCACATCCACCACTAATTGTAAGAGATCAATGTCTCGCTTTTGCTTGAACAGTACTTCTTTCAAATTCTCAATATCCATCCTAGTAATTTCATCTTTTTTGTTTCCTGGACTTGAGCCTTTAGTGTTGACACAAATTGGTCCAGTTATTTTTTGTTCCGGAACAATAAATGTGTAGCCACACTTTTTCCCTTCCTCACCCTCTTCTGTAGAACGTGGATTTCGTTTAGGAAAGGATTTTTTAAGTGTCTCTACTGTATAATATCCATTTGATAATAGCATTATTAAGAAACTCAAAATCCATGGGACTGTCTTCATTTTCAAGTGAGCTAAATGGAGAAAAATACATTTTATTTATTTATCAAATTTAGAAACTGCCCATCTCCCTTGCAGGAGGGACTCTGAGTGGTGTAGAAATAAAATACTAAAATCAAAAACTGTGTGTAAAAATCAAATAAAGAAGCAAGGATAATTAAAATTCACCATTAAAAAGTTAATTAAATAGCAAAGGGTGCTAATTTGCCTCAGAGCTGCATGGCCCTTTGTGAGCCCCATGCAAGAGATCAGAGTCAGGTCTTTAGATATTTTCGACAGTGGGAGCCTGTCTCCCCTCTCAGAGGAGAATGTTCCAAAGGGCGGGGGCAATAGCAGGAAAAAAAATGCTGAATTCAGGACCTTGCCAGTCACAGCCATAACTCTTTAACTGACAAGGTCCAAGACATGCCTTCCCTACCTGTCCAGATAGGATGGGCTGATATAAGGGGAATTTTAGGTATTGCCAAGACTGCAGCAGTATAAAAATAACCCATGTAAAAAATGATAAATTAAGGGTTTTGTCAGTCATTCAGGTTTTAATTCTCTCCTATTCTCTATGTATTATGTTATAATTACTAGCAGAAGCATGGAAAGCAGAAACATTTAATATCTTAGTATGAGAAATCAATTAAAGTCACAACAGTTGGATAAATTGAGTGCCATAGTATGGTATCAAGATATAACACATACAGTTACTAATACTGGATAACATAGAGGTTGAGCTAACAACTCTGTGTTGATTTATCATCTTACATTTTGCAGTACTCATCTTGAATGACAAAATGTAACCTTGCAAACAATGTTTAGTTCCCATATTAAAGACCAAGCATGAATATGTTCAGGTTATAAAAAAGCTCCCTCCTCTATCTATTCTTCTACTTGTGTCTCATTAGCATGGAGTAATTCTATATTATAGTGTGAAAACTCTGAGTGACATGAACAAACACAATAGGTAATTCAGTGGGAAAACATTTCACTAATTCCTGCCTAATTTGGTACAGGAACTTTACTACTGCTGTGCATATAAAATGGTTACTATACCACAGGCTGCATATTTGAAGAGCTTAGGAATATGGAGATAGACTAGTATTTGTATAGTAACTTTTTTGAAATTATTTTCATCTAGATAGCTATTTGAATTCAAATAATTGATCTTTTATATTGTACATTATATATTTAAAGGGCAATGCATTTTAAAAAATTAATACCAGACTATCTTGTAAAAATTGTTATATTTATAACGTTAAAATTATTAACCTCAGATATTGCAGTTAGATTAGATTCTGTCATGTAGTCTATTTAATTTCGTTGTACGAGGTGCAATGACAAAGCAAACTAAACTAAATTATTCTACATCTTAAATTATTCAAATTCCTCAATTTGTTTTTATCTGGCAATGATTATGGTTTTTTTACTATAAAAATAGTTTCAAACAGTATTAAATATTATTTTGCCTACTTCAGACGAACATTTCAAATGGTAATATTTCACTGCAAATAGACTATGCTCTTGGAAGGTTTTTTTTTTCCTGTATACAGAAAGTAATGCCAAATAAACATTCCTTGTTTGCATTTGAACTTACCCAAGATATAATTTAGCTCCCTTTTAAGATATACTGAAGATTTGCCTTCCAGTGAAAGTGCTGTTGTTTGAAATAGCCTTTAAACAACATTAAATTCAATTTAGCATAAGTAAAATTCTTGCTACTATTCAGTTGTATTTTAACTGTTTACCCGATGTAAGGGTATACTCATCACCCTACCCCTAACATTATCCTATACTGATGTATAAAACTAATATTTTAGCGAGGAAAAAAACCATTTTGCCATAATTACAGTAATTCCTTTCTCTCTTACGCCATTTCATCCTTCCTTTTTGCTATAGATAGTGTTGGTCTTTTTTTCAGCCTCAGAGGTCTCCCTATCACTCTTACATGAGAAAAGACAAGAGAGTTAAATGTTACTATTTATTGTTGCCCTTGTTATTTTAGTCCAAGAGAGAATCAGGTCTTGTGGAGCAGCTGTATTATGCATATTTACACAATATATGCATACCTTTAGATGTCCCAAGCTTTAACAATACTGGAGAAGGGAAGAGAGCATGCACAATCACAGTATATTTTTTGTACTGCTATTATCAGTAATGCTAACCACAGCAAAGAAAATGTGTGAAAAGCAGATATCTATATTCAGTTCACTGGAGTCATCCTGCAACCAAATAGCATAGATGTAAGGCATTAGACTAGAAAGCAGGAGATTCAAATTCTAGTTCCACCTGAGGTACAAAGCCATCTGAATGACTTGGGCTAGTCACTTTATCTCAAGCCACTTGTGAATAATTTTGCCAAGTAAACAGCAGAAACATGTCTCTGAGAATCAGACATAGAAGGGGAAAATGTTGATTTGTCCTTAGGGAGTGATAAATTGATTGATTTACTAATCAAAACATAGCATTAAAAACAGGTTCAGAGGTCAGCTAATCCAATGGTAAGGATCTGTTAAAGCATTTTGTGATAGCTGTTGCTTGAAGATCTCCAATATAGAGGAATATGTTGGAACATTCCTCTTAATACTTAATGTATACCTACTTCCCCTACAATTTCAATCCACTGATTCTGATCCTGTTGACCAGAGAAATAGGGTAACCAAGGTATGTACATTTCCTCCCCTATATGATAATTTATAGATATTTGAAGACTCGATAGTATCAGCTTTTTTTTCTACAGGTTAAATATATTCACTTCCTTTGATGATTTTTCATAGGGTTTGTTTTCTCCTCACCATCTTGGTAACTGTTTTCTGTAGACTAAGCTTAATTTGTTGGTGTCTTTTTTAGAATGTGATGCTCATAAATGAGTATAGTATTTCAGGTGTATTCCATCCTCTTATTATATACCAAAAGAACATTTGCATTTTCAGCAGCTATATCACCATGTTGGTTTGACATCTGCAACACCCAGATTCTTCTTACACATCTAGTATAGCCAAGACAGGTTTCTCCTGACATCTAGGTGTATCTTTCTCCCCAAATGCAGGACTTCGGATTTTTCCTCATTAAATTTTATCTTGTTTATTTGGCCCACTATTCAAGTTGTCTAGAGCTTTTTAAATCTTTACTTTTTTATCTATAGTGAATCTACATTTTCTCATCAATTTATCAAGCATTCCCAAATCAAATAGCCCTCAACATATGACAGTTGAGCCCACTATTTTTGTCATAAGTTGCTGCAATCATAAGCCCTTTTGACCGATTCACTGAGCAACTGCAATCCAAGCTTTCCCTGTTGTTGCCATGCCCAGGGTATATGGAACCCCTAGGAGGTCCAGAGCCCACTGGCACATAGTAACTTGCCATGGGTTTGGGAGGTGTCAGCTGGCTAGGCCTACCAGCACACAGACCTTTTCCCAGCCTCAATATACTTGGGTCTACTTACCTTACAGTCAACTTGCTCTATCCTGCATGTAGGCCCCATTCTCATTATGGTTCAGAAGGCTCATTTTCAAATTGTATGGAGAAGGGTCTTCTGAACCATTGTGAGAATGATGGTATTTGTTAGCATTTTTTCCTCCACTTTGGAAATACTGAGTGTAAGGGCCTTTCAGAATGCTGATTTTGCAAGTGTTTTTGAGCTCCAGATTTGTACAGATGGAAGGGGAAATCCCTCAGGGAAATAAATCCCTGTGGAATGGACTTCAAAGCTTCCATCCCTCTGTTTGCAACTTTTCCTGTTGACTTTCTGGGAAAACCAGCAGATAAGATTGCAAATGGCAGTCATATAATCACAGGGTATTTGGCAATCAGTCATAAATATGAACAGATTGCCAAGTACCTGAAATGCATCACCATAGGGGGAGGACAGTCTGTTGTTTTATGCCTATTCCATGGCTGTCGTGTCTGTGGTCATTAAACTACCAATCATAAATCAAGGACTATCTGTCTAGCAGTTTTTCCATTGGTTTTGCTGGGGGGGAGGGGGGGAGTGTTAATACCTTGGAATGTAACTCACCTACCCTGGAGCATTGAATTTATTTAAATTATATAATTATCTGAGATTGTCCTAGGCTGCTGCTTTCTCCTTCCATTATTGTGAACCACGATAATGGCCCACTAATGTCAATGATTGTACCTTTGTCTTTAGTATCCATTAAGACTCTAGCCACCTAAGCTTCATGTATTTCTCTTTCTAGCAGACTTTGGCAGAATGATTTGTGCCATAGATTCATTACATATGAATTATGGTATTATAATGCACTTCGTGTGAAAATAGAAATTTTTATTCATATCAAATAATAGTGAAGGTTCCTGGAACCAGGGATAAGATTATGCAACTGAAACAATTGAATTGACCAATTCAAATCCTGTAGCTGTAATTTATTGTTTATTGGCTTGTATTTATTTTTTTTAAAGCTACTTGTTTCAGAAACAATTGTTTCAGGTTCATATGAAGCCGTATGTCATGTGAGCCTAACTCTAAAAATGAGGAAAAACTTTTTTGATGCCATAAAATTATTTTTGAACTTTCTTCACAGAAATATCTGTTTTATCTCCTCCTTATTGTAATTATTAATTCTGCTTAGAAGCGCCTGGTTTAAACATCTGGGCTGCATTGTTGGGAGAGGGGGATAAATGGCTAAATAAGAAACATTATTACAGCTGAATATTATTTGTGAGTGACAGTTTAGTTTTGCATGGAATAATGTACTAAAAGCAATAAAATTATATTTTTCTGCAAATGCAGAGTAAATATTCATCTTGAATAGTTTGCTTTTCCAAATATTTAATTCATATGCAAAAAATGCAAACATGTTCTGTACATTAAAAGAGTCAGTGAGTTAATGCGTATAGTCTGTCTTAGTGTTCAGGTTTTTTATGATTAAAATAATTGGATATGGAAAGGAGTGATACACATCTGTTTGCAAGGGAACCTTAACATAATATTCCACATTATTGATAATCTACATTAATTGAGTCCATTGTGTCAAATATGAAAGACATATTAACACATTTCAACTTCAGCACAAAAAGCTATGTGTTATTTGATTTTCTTTGGAAATATAAGAACCTTAGGTGTGGATAAGATGTTAAACAAAAGGGTAAACACACTCAATTTGATTTCATAGGTATGTTTCTTATTTTTATATAGCATTAAAAATGGTGCATCTCTTGACTGTCTTGAAAACAATCACATATAATATGAATAAATTATAGATTGAAAATTTGTACTGTAACTACAAAATTGCTGTGAACTGATAGTAGTACCCAGTGATATTTATGTCTTATATTGCATTAATTCTGTTGAAATAACTTACTATACATTCCATTTAGTCAAATTCTGCTATTTTAGTCATTGGGAATTTTTATATCTGAAACTCGATTCACTGAATGGTAAATATTTTTCTTTTAATATCAGAACTTTGATTTAATTTTAATTTATCTTCTGCAGTTTGCTTTCTGACTTATAATAAAGCTAAAGACAGATTACTACTTCAAATACTTTCTCCTGAATACTATATTTTTAACTGAATACCATTCTTGCAGTATGAAGGATTTGTTGTGGAATTGTTACTTTTTATAGGTACACTGTATTTGCGGGGTTTTAAAGCTAATTTAGGCAAAATAGCAACATTCTAGAATACTTTGATCCTAGCTCTATGGACATGTTTGTTTGCAGAATCATGCTTTTCAGAAAATACATGGAAAAATATATGGAAAATCCAGAATACTTAAATAATAATTTTTGCCATTGAGTTCTACAATCTACTGAAATACATGGAATTATTTTCTACTTAGTGGCAGCTAGTCAGCAGTAAGAACATAAGTGCAAACATAAGTGTTCTCTTTTCCATTACATTGTCTTATCAGATTAATAGATCCAGTTTCTGAAGCATAATAGGTAAACTTCTATTACAACTACATACTAATAGTTTGAAAAGGGCAATATTAACTATTTGCTAAAATATTTGTTCCACTACCTGTATTATATCAGATTTATTTATAAAAATGTCATTTTTTAAAAAATTAGATAATTAGCAAAATAAATAAATTTTTATATTGTACAGAGGAACAATCTAATACTGTAGTGTAGTCAATTAAAAACTGATAAAATTAAAGCCCGGGTTAAAGCTCTGAAATTATTTTTGATAACTTTCATTGTGAAAATGAAATACTATTGCTTTGGTTCTTACCTATAGTTGTAACTGCAATACATGAATATCAGTGTTTCTACACCAGCTGCTTCAACTGTTGTCCACTGATACTTTGCCACCTTCCAATTTGGTTGTTTTCTATCTTGGCTGGGTCTGACAAAAGATGCAATTTTTAAAAAATCCAAAGAGCACTAGGTTGCAGAAGACTGCCATAGATTCCAGCAACTTAGATTCCACAGCTAAGTGTTCTAATAAGATCCTGAACTTAGTTGCTTTTTGCTTAACAAACTATTTTAATTAGAACTCGAGAATAACTGTTTAGTGCATATATTAGTCTAACGTTACATGGTACTCTCTGAAAGATAGCAAAAATGCTTTTAAAACTGAGCATGTATAAGCAATATATATCAGTCTAACATAGAAGGTAATGGTTTTGTGCCAAAGAAAACTCCAGTATTTGTGTTGTTCTTTATTAGGTACAATTATTGTATTCAGTAATCATGGGCTCTAACTTTGAGCCAAGAAAATTAATACATTTTATTGGGTTAACTTTTTTCTTTTGCAAGCTAATTTAGCTATTTTTGAGTTCCTATGGAAGCAAAGAAATAACTAAACCTTGAAATTATTTAAATCCACTATGCACAGTGGATACATGTTTATTCCAAGTACAAATGGAATAATTTTGATCAAAAATGTGGGGCCCCACATTAGTACATGAATAGAACAAAGTTAAATGAAGATTTAAATTACAGATTTTCATGCTATTAATTGATATGCCTGAGATAGTCTGAGAGTTACTGACTTACTAGTTTTATTTTCCTTTATTAGGAAAAATATAGTTTAAAATATTAAACTAACACAAAAAAATTAAAAACAGTTTCACCATGGAAGCTTTATAACAGTGGGTTTTTTTCCTAATTATGTTTGGGGAGTGAATCCTCACCCACACCTTCCCTCAGCATACAACTAATAGTAATAGTATTTTGATTACTTTTATAATGGAGTATCATGAAAATCAATGGAGTACAATAAATTCTAAACCATGTGTATATTAGTGACAGCAATCTCATCCTTATCCAATATGGGAAAAATGCATACATATTGACTGCAAAGAAAATGGACAGATACTAACCTTCTGATGACTCTTTTTTCTGAAACCGAATAAAACTTCAGAGGCTTTTTCTTTATATTTCCTCCTGCTGGTGCCAATACAGTTGGCTAGCACAGTTCTACTTTGTTTTGTTTTGTTCTGTTTATAACCAAATACATATCCCTCACTTTTAGCTTAACGAAAGACCTATCTATCTAAACTATTTCCTTCTGCAACAGAAAAGGAGAGTTTTTCTAGCTGCTGTGCCTTTTCCTTTCATTTGCATTCTGAACTGTACTAACCAGCAACAGTCTAACTTGCTTTAATATACAGCACAGCACACTTGGGTGTGTTTCTTAAACAAATGCATGCCTAGACGTAGAAACTGCCAGCCCATGTATGAGGTAATTGAAGAAAGGGAGGGGGAAAGAGAGAGGGGGAGACCAAAGGATTTCCTATCCACAGCCTTTGGAGTAGAATTAAAATTGGGAAAGGAAAAAGAGTGGGAATCACAGTATGAACAAGGAGATACTGTTTGCTAATTGAATGGAAAGCAAACAGCAGATGGGGAAACAAACTATAAAGAGTTTAGGTGCTGAACTGTAATTGCAAAGCATTGTTACTTAGTTGCTCAAAGTTGCCTTTAGCTGTTACTATAGTGAGCTTACTTTAGAGGAGAGATTCTTTCAGACTGATACATCCAATTTTCTGTTTCCACAAAGGAAAGGAACAGGAGATTTGTGGATGTATGTGTTTGTGTTCAATTATTCTGAAGAATGCAAACCAGAATGCCCTATTAAATTCTTTTTAAAGTTTATTTAATGAGAAGCAGTTGTTACAGCAGTAGTGTTTAAAAAACATTGACAAAATAAGACATTAACACTATTAACTCTTAAGTTACATGGCATACTAAATGAGGAGAAAAGAATTTGTGATTGGTCTAAGAAAAAAACCAATCAAATCAGTTTATGTAGGTGAATCATGTATTGATTTCTAAATGTTTCTTAAATATTTATTTAGTCAGAAACCCAAATGTTTTTAATAGTAGAATGAGAAATTGGTCATTTTACTTTATTATTCCCATCCCAGTTCAATATCACCAGTTACCAACAATCAGGCAAACACAAATACTAGCCAGTATTTTCCTATTTACATATTCTGTTGTCACTCAATGGCCATCTAGAAACCAATAGCTTATTTAGGATTTAGTTAGCTTAATCCTAGCTGAAATGCCAACAAAAAGTTTTGTTGAATAAATACTAAGAGAATTGCAGAGAAAGAATGGCATCAATCCACTTCTCTTAGACTGACCAGAAATGACAATAAACAGACCCACTAAAGTTGCCCATTTTGTGTCACTTTCTATTCTTAGGACTTAGATCAACTTGATGTTTGGTGACTGAGGTTTTTGTCTCATTTTTATACCTTTTTTAAGGGACAGAGAGCATAAATAATAACATCTAATTATTTATTATTCACAACTTCAAACAATTTAATGCTCTTCCAGTTAGCTTTTAAGTAAGACAGCACTAGCAGACAGCACTGATTGATCTGGTAGCATATCTTATCAACAGTGTGGGAACATAACTAGTTAAACTTTTGCTAAGAATATTTTTAAGAGAACCACTTATTACTGTTTCACTTTTTCTTTGTCAATTTTGTATGCTATTACTTTAAATATAAAGTTTATATAATTGAATACAAAGAACAAGTGATAATAATTTAGACATGTAGCAGTTTAATTTTAAAATATAATTGCTTCATTAATTAATTACTTTGTTGAATTGCAAGTATATTTTAGATACAGATTGAAATATAAAGCTTTTATAATATATCAAGGGTGTCAAACTCACAGCATCACATCACACATCAGCACTTTTTCTCCCTTTACTAAACCAGGCGTGGCCGTGGCCAGCCCGTGACGCATCCAGCCCATGGGCCGGGAGTTTGAAATCCCTATAATATATGGAAGGCTAAAGCTGAATGTTTCAGTTTCATGACATGTCTTCAAAGTCCAAATAGTATCTGAAGGAGGACTGGAAGGCTGTGGTGTTTCTTATTTGATTTGAACTGCAGGTAGTACTCTCTTAGAAACACAGCTGGGATCAACAACATCATTACTAAATGCCATGATTGCTAAACAAAAAATCATGTAACTGCAAGGATTTATAGCGTCACTTCTGCTTCAGTTGTTAAGTAAATCACACAGCTCTTCAGTAAAACATTCCATATTCCCCATTAACTCTGTTTGACACAAGCAAATTGCAAAACACACAAATAGCATGACCTTGGGACACAGCAACAGTCATAACTATATATCATTTGCTGTGCTCCCAAATGGTGTTCACATGACTGCAAAATACTACAATGATCATAAATGAGACAATTGATCACAAAGCTGAGGGGTTTCCTTCACAAGTGTAACTTCAAACTGTTGCTAAATGAGGCAGTCAGTAAGAGCTACCTATAATCATTTCAGTGGTCTACATGATAAAAAAAATCTTTAATTCATCTTCAGGTATTTATCTCTCAGATTTGACATATATTGACTCAGCATATCCATCAACAGGAAGTATTCTGGAAAATGAGCAGAGATCAAATTTAATGAATAATATCCTTAGAATAATTTCAGACTTGCAGCAATCTTGTGAATATGGTAAGTTATACCACGTATTTACAGCATTATGTGCAACCAGTGAATAAAAATTGCTTGAATATTAATTGAGGCTTGCTCAAATTTCATCTTTGATTAAAGGTGGTGATGAGATATTTTAAAAATAGTAATTCAAGATATGAAGAGTATATCTTAAAATATATCTCTTTGGACAAATGTAAATGGTAATATTTGTTTACTAAATTATTTCAAAGGAAAAAAAGGACTTTTCTCAACTTAGCATTTATTTAAAAAAATAATTAACAGACCTTGATACAGTAAGCTTTCTGTTATTCAAAAAGATTTTGGAAGCCACTCCCTTAATTTGGACTAAGCCTATTTCAATTAAAATAATCTCTCAAAAAGAACCTTCATTTTTATTAATTTATCTATTATCTAAATGTCTGCTTTTGTGGGGGGGAAAGAAGATAATACAATAATAATAGTTAACATTGATATGAAATCATGCCATATAAAATATATAGATCTTAGCGGCTACTAATAAAATAACTACTCTCCATTTAACTTATTATGAACTGCTCTCCTCTTAATTTATTATGAATTATTTGTTACATTCCCCTACTCTTAATCATCTTCCCTCCCAATTTCTTATTCTGTCTAATTACTATTTAGATATTCCTGTGTTGCCTCATGTTCAAAAGTATCTGAATTCTGTTCAGTATATAGAGGAACTTCAGAAGTTTGTGGAAGATGATAATTATAAGTAAGTATAAAAACTAATCAATTACTGTGTATTCATTATTAAATTTTTGGTTTTAGAGCATTTTTTCATAAAGAACAAAAGAGTCTGCTTTCATAAATGTTTCAAATTTTTAGAACATTTCTTTCATATTCCGTGAATACTTTCTTGCTCTTTTTTTTTTTTCTTTCTCTTTCTTTCCTAGAACATAACCCTTGACTGTAAAGATTAAAAATGAATGAATGAAAAGAATAACAAACAAAAAACCCTGTAATAGTTTAGGCATTGAATTAGGAATGAGGAAACTCATCCACATTGAAATTCAGTAATTGAGCAGTGATTCTCTCCACCCACCCTGCAATACAGGGTTTCTGAGGAAATTCCCATGAAAATTCTTTTGAGTTCCTATAGGAAAGGTGGAACATAAATCTAACAGATGAATAACAATCAATAGTTGTTCAGGATCTCAGACAAACTTAATTTATTATGAATTATTTGTTACATTCCCCTACTCTTAATCATCTTCCCTCCCAATTTCTTATTCTGTTATTAACTGGTACTCATCATATAATCCAGAGGCATCAAACTCTATTTCATCAAGGGCCACATCAGGATTGTGTTTGACCTCGAGAGGCTGGGGTAGGCATGGCCAGGGTGGGCATGGCCAGCTCAACATCATTCATGTCGAGGCACCTGTGGTGGCCCAAGCACTCTGCCAGTGAGAAGAAGCTCCCCAGCTCTGTTTTCAGTTGCAATAGCCTGCTACAACCCTCTGCCAGTGAAAATGGAGCTCACAACAACCGCCTGTGGCCCTCCCAAGCTCCATTTTCACTGGCAGAAAGACCACGGCTCAGTCCTTTGCTGCTTCCACAGTGGCCCTGCAGGCCTTGAGTTTGATACCCTTGATATAATCCATACTGGCCTTTTAAAAAACTAAGACTAATTGTCATATAGCAGTTATATGTGCAACTGTTTTGTTCTTTTCTTTAAGTTAATATACAAAGTGGAAGAAAGTTTCCAGGAAATCATGTTCTAAATGGCACTTCTAAATCACATGTATTTTTCTTTTAAATGAAAAATAGGTATTTTGTATCTTACTTATTTTTTTTTTAAAAAGGAATTTTTTTATTTAAATCTGTCAAAATTATGATAATGGTTATTATTTGTTTATTTTTATTTATAATCCACCTAACTCATGGTTTGATGCTACTCTGAAAAGCTAATTATTACATTTTTATCTCACCTTTTCAGTATATATGTGTGTAACTCAAGGTGGTTAACATACCTAACCCTCCTGCCTTCTACTTTCCCCAACAACAATAACCCTGTGATATGTATTCGACTGAGATAGAGTGACTGCCCAAGGTCTTCCAGATCATGATTAAGGGAAGACTAGAAGTAATAGACTTCTTGTTTCTAGGTCAGCACCTTAACCACCAACAATCTGGCTCAAATGATTTATTGATCCTAGTAGGAACTTCTAGAAAATGAAAGTAAGTGTAGAAGTCTGGATTTATTATTAGTAAAATCTTTTTTTTCCCCTGAACACAGACTTTCATTAAAAATAGAACCTGGGACCAGTACCCCTCGCGCCACTGCATCTCGTGAAGATTTAGTTGGTAAGTATTCAAAAATCAAATGTTCTACTCCCCAGTATTCCTATTTTCTGGACTTATAATGTCCATAAAATCTGTTAAATAGAGAATCTAATTTAACACCTGTAAATTCACTTCTGAAATTATTTTGAAGATTTTGAAGAATTATAATAACGAACTTGCTCTTTGCTCTACTCTTTTCATTTATTTTTTATAGGCCCCGAAGTGGGTGTTTCTCCCCAAATGGTGCGAAAGAATGCTACTGCTGAAGGAGCATTGCTACCACCAACTCCTCCATCTCCTAGAAACCTGATGCCTCATGGGCATAGAAAATGTCACAGTTTGGGATACAAGTTAGCATTTTATTTGAGATTCGGTTTCTTCTTTTATTTAAATCTATGATACTCTGAATTATTGTTCTTTAAAAAGCCATGTATATGAATTAAGTATCTTCTTTGCCATTGACTTTTCACGCAGTGCATATATTAGGTTGTTTGAATAGCTCAGTATACATATACCTTACCTTACTACAAGGTAAAGATAAGTAAAGATATATATCTTATAGATAAAATAGTGGCTGAATTTGTACATCATGATAAGTCAGGATTATTAAATAATTTATTAAACAAGCCAAACTCAGATTTGCAGACAGACAATGCAATCATGACATTGTTGGAATCTGAAAACAGAGAAAAGTCTAACAATATACCAACTTTGAGCTGTATATAATTGCTACCATCACAAAGTAATCATTATTTGTTTGGTTAGAATATTTTTCTATTTTGTTTTAATTTCCTTTGCTTTATACCTCTGTGCATTGTTAGAACTTTGAATAGGAAATTTGGATTAGCAGGTTAACTCACTGATCTAAATGGCTCCTTTCTGTTTTCAGGAAACAAAAATCAGGTACAAGGCAACAAAATGCTCGTTTCTGTTCATAATGTTTTGTTAAATCATAGTTACAATCATTAAACTGTCAAGCCATGTTTTCATATTGATTTACATACTGAACCCAATTATTCATACCTTAGACTTCAGCAAGGCATTCAACAAAGTAGACCACAACCTACTTCTTGGTAAGCTATAAAAAAAGTGGGATAGATAACATCACCACCAGATAGATTCGCAACTGGCTGACAAACCGTACTCAACAAGTAGTCCTTAATGGTTCTTAAGTCTACATGGAGGGAAATAAGCAGTGGGGTGCCACAAGGTTCCGTCTTAGGCCCAGTACTCATCAATATCTTCATCGAGGACTTAGATGAGGGAATAGAAGGAGAACTTACCAAATTTTCAGATAATACTAAGCTGGCAGGAATAGCTAACACCCTAGATGTGTTAGCTGTTCCTGCCAGACTTGAACACTGGCCCTATCTAACAAAATGAAATTCAATGTAGAGAAAAGTAAAGTCCTACACTTAGGCAAGAAAAACCAAAAGTACACATATAGACTGGGTAAAACCATGCTTAATAGCAGTAACTGTGAGAGGGATCTTGGAGTCTTAGTGGACAACCAACTAAATATGAGCCGGCAGTGTGCAGTGGCAGCCAAAAAAGCCAATGCAATCCTAAGTTGCATTAACAGAGGGATACAATCAAGATCAAGTGAGGTACTAATACCACTTTATAAAGCTGTAGTAAGACCACACCTTGGTCACCACACTATAAAAAAGATGTTGAGACTCTAGAAAAAGTACAGAGAAGAACAATCAGGATAATTGGGGGACTGGAGACTAAAACATATGAAGAACAGTTACAGGAACTGGGCATGGTTAGTCTAGGGGAGACATGATAGCAGTCTTCCAATATTTGAGGGGCTGCCACAGAGAGGAGGTGTTCAAGCTATTTTCTAAACCTAAAGTGCCTGTAGGCCAGACAAGGAATAATGGATGGAAACTGAACAAGGAGAGATTTAACCTGGAAATAAGGAGAAATTTTCTGGCAGTGAGAACAATCAAACAATGGCACAGCTTGCCTTCAGAAGTTGTGGGAGCTTCATCGCTTGAGACTTTCAAGAAGAGATTGGACTGCCATTTGTCAGAAATGATGTAGGGCCACCTGCTTGAGCAGGGGGTTGGACTAGATGACCTACAAGGTCCCTTCCAACTCTGTTAATCTGTGAAATGTCAGTTCTTCATGAACACAGGGATAGATTTTCTCCAAAATGATCTCTAACTTAGTCCTTCAGGTCTTCCAGTGATGCACCAGTCACTACTATAACTAAGTCTCTTCACCTTGCTACTGATCATCATCTTGCCCTGAGCAAAAGAAAAAAGAAAGAAAGAAATGCAGTTAATCCTCATATTTAGTTCTAAAACTTTAAGGATTAAATTGCAAAGTACATACATACAGCTGCTTGCTTGCAAATCATGTTATGATTATGAATGTGGTTGACAATCTCTATTTAGGTTGCTTGTGATAAAGAAAAATCAATTCTTAAATATTGGTAGCATATATAACTTCCTAATAACATTTTCATTCTTCCATGTCCACTTCTAAGTGTAATATTGGAATCCATTACACAGAAAGAAAAAAGCAGCAGGCATTGTAGAATTTTAGTACAAAAATGTTAAATGTAACTCATCTATGCCTATTTCATATCTATTATAAAATTACATATTTTTGTGAACATTTAGTTTTTTAAACTCTTTTTGCCTTTATTTTGTCTTTTCCTTTGGATTTGCTTAGTGAGGTCTGATCTATTATTAAATATACTTTCAATACTATGTTATATTCAATGGGATCAATCTTAATGTATTTTACTATTTTTCTAGTTTCATTCATAAAATGAACACAGCAGAATTTAAAAGTGCAACATTCCCAAATGCAGGACCAAGGCATCTTTTAGATGATAGTGTCATGGAATCACATGCTCCATTACGAGGGCAGGCAGAGAGCTCCACCCTTTCCAGTGGAATTTCAATAGGTGAGGTTTTATCTCAGTCAGTAAAAAAAATCTTTTGAAATTCAAATTTGTATTTTTTTTCATTATATTTATATGCTACCACTCCTTCATATTATTTGAGGGTTGTGCATAGGTCCTATCCTCAGATAAACGTATGCACACTGCAAACTGAGTTAATGACCTGGTGATTTGGGGACTAAAACCTCCCAAATTGTAAAATTACTCAGGATTTACTACCTTTTCAATGCCTAGTATAAAGTTCTATAAAAGCCTCATGCAAAAACAATCTCTGGATTAGGTCTATATTTTCCCCACCCAAATAAGAGCATGGGGAAGGAATAAAAATTATTAGAAAAAGCAAGTGGGAAAGGAATGGCTGGCTTCCCAGCGTCCTTTGCAGTGAAAGTTAACTAAATTTTGACCATCAACTGACAGGCTCACTGATCAGAACTTGGCTTAAACATTGACTTACTTACTTACAAATTGGCTTAGCTAGGCTCCTAACTTTCATTTGACTAAGGTCTTTCAGATACTTGTAGCAATCTTTATTGCAAATGAGAACAAAGCATCATTTTCAAGGACCCAATGAAAAGACACACATTAGATCTAGTTTTTGTTTCAACACAAACATGATATGAAAGTGTGAAGATGTTGAATTCATCTTTTGTCAAGGAGAGATCACTTTCAGATTGCTCCAGTTTATGTATAGCATTCTCTTCCTGCACTGGGAAAGGACTCATTAACTTGGTCCACCCCAGCATCTACCTGTGGGTATTCAGAGGCTCCTGGGAAATTCCACAGGGATCTGGTAAGCAGTTCATCCAAGTCATTGGTTATACATTTGATTAATAGTACATTCAATGCCATAAATAGATTGCATCATAGCTGTCTGCCCTTACATGCAGATGAGCTACTACTTTTTAATACACTGAAGAATCTAGGGTGATGAACCAGCAGAAAAGATGCCTAAGACGCACCTGGAGAAGGAACAATCTTGAGTGACTGAATCCTAATACAAGCCAAAGTTAGTTCACACAATGGTGATTCAGGGGGCAAAGTTGAAGTCTTTTGTCTCCCTTATGCCGAATGCCAGGCAGCAGCATTTTTAAGACAAACTGCTCCTTTCACCAATATCATCTCACTCATTCTACTGTGAGGAATTTCATGCTATCCTTCTGGGCCATCTGTTCAGAGAAGGGAGATGGTAGCACTGTTTTTTAGAGGTTTTTCCTGTGTTTGGTTGTCTTAATTCCAGAAGATGGTGCTAAATTGTTATTGTTTTTCTTCATTTCTTTCATACAGACACACAAACATAATGAAAGAGGCACAAATGCTTATTCATCATGTACTAAACAAAGAACAAGTACTATATACATATTCATTTAATATAATGCAATTAAATTATATTATGCAATTAAACGATTCAAATTTAAGTGAGTCCTAACAGTTAAGTGGGGAGAGAAAAATTGAACATAAAAACTAGTATACACAGGGAAAATAATCTCATAAACAAAACTCGCAGAAAAAAGGCGTTTTCTTTTTAAACTAATGTCATTGCAATTGAGTCAGTTTTATTATGGGTAATTTTTACCAATTTTTAAAAACATTTTTAGACCTGGCAAATCATAGAATTACAGCATTTTTAAATTGATTCACTTATTCCAATCTTAGGTAGCAGTGATGGATCAGAGCTCAGTGAAGAAACTTCTTGGCCAGCATTTGAAAGGTGAGAGAAGCCAGTATATATTTGTCCAAATGCGTATTTAACCTATGACAGTTTTACAGTTCCACATAGAATAGCGTATCAAACATTCCTGGTATAGTGCTTTTGATTAAGCTCTGCTTTTCCTACACATGGATTATATATGTAAGTAAAAAAATAATGGCTAAAATAGTTCAATCATGCAAGTTTTCTGGAGAGTGTATAATCACTAATATATATGAGTGGTTCATCATCAACTTACAGCTAGTTGGGAGAATGTTGACATAAGCTTCCCAAAGCTGAAAGTCCTATTTACAGTCTAGGCTTGGAGTAAAACCCAAGTGACAGTTGTGTTGAGCTGCTCCTAGAACAGCAAGGCTGTTCATCAGCCTGACCAATTTAGGACAGTAGATAACTGACTTTTCTGTCTTAGTGAATGTATATGTTTAACTTATATAAAAACATGCTATAAATCTACTATTGTTTGTATAAAATTACTTTTATTTTGTATATCATTGCAGCAACTTTCAGGTGAAATACATTGATCATTTGATAAAGCACCGCTCATGATCTGAGGTGCTTGTGCAGCTCCCAGTTCAGTACAAATGAAGTGACATAACAAGCTAGTAGAATCATAGTTGATTTTATAAAACTAAAGGTTTTTCTTCTGCAGGATGAACTATTCATATTCTTTTTCTTCCCTGGCTTAGATGATCTGTTTTCAGGCTACTACCTTAATGCATTTTTGCTCAGTAATACGCATAAAAAAATAGTTCTCTCAATATAAATAGAGGTAATTCTTGACCTACAATTATTTGGTCAGTGACAAATTCACATTATGACGATTCTGAATGGAGTTACAATTGTTCCTCAAGAGTTCCTGGTGTCCCAGCACTCCTGTGGTCACATCATCACAATCTGGGTGCAGGCAACTCATTCGCACTCACAATAGCCAAGCACCCCATTGTCATATATAATCACCAGTTGCAACTTTCCCTGCTGACTTCCCCAGAAAGTTAATGGGGAAGATGTTGTAAGTCACTGGAAGAAGTTGTCGTCGTTCTCCCCAGCCCCGCCATTCTCACATCCAGCCCTTCTGCACTCATGCCACATCAGCCGCTCACACGTCCCTGTATGCACCATATAATCCCAAAAGTTATTCAAAAGAAAAGGCCAAGATACACTGCTAAACCACTACAAGAGGGAATGTTTTCATATTCTAAAGGGGTTACATTGTTCCTAATCACTTGGCTTTTAGAAATGTCTTGCTTTAACTGCTGATGTTGATTGTCTAATCATTCATTGGGATGCCAGGAAGACTATTCTATTGTTATATGTGTTCGCACCAAGGAATGTGTTATTCAAATAAGAGATCTTTTGAAAACATGAAATATATGAACAAGTAGTAGCAGCAATGTAGCAGAAAGGAAAGCTTATTATAGTGTTCTAACAAATGATGACTATGAATTTTAAAAATGTAACCCATACAATTTATAATGGAATCCAACAGGAACAGATTATACCATTCTCTTGGTCCGGTGACAAGAATAGCACGAAATGGCTATTGGAGCCACATGAAAGGCAGCAGGTACCAATCCCTTGTGTTCAAGGGCCAGACACTTTCCTCTGGTGTTGGTGACTGATTTGTGAAGTGGATCTAATCTGTCACTCCTATTCTTTCTAACTATCTTGATATATCGTGATGTATCACAAGAGTGAACATTCTCTATTGAAACAGGATTTCTATCATAAAACTTAATTGTATCTTCACAGTCTATGGCTGTTCATTTTAATCTCCATATCTAACTTTGTAATATTATAAAAAAAAAATCCCAAAATGTTTTATTTATCTCTTTACTTTAAAAAAAACCAACTCTCTAAAACAGAGCTGTCAAACTGCCAGCCCATGGGCCAGATGTGTCACATGTTGGCCACGCCCACAACTGGTTTAGCGAAGGTGAAAAAAAGTCCCAATACATCATGTGATGCCACCATGGTGGTATGAGTTTGACACTCCTGCTCTAAAGCATAATTTATGATATTGGATGGTACTAGAAGTGATTAGATGGCAAGAATAATGTTGAAACTTTGAAGATTGAATGAGAGTTAAGATGTTTCTTTTTCTTTTTATCCTGAGCCATATAAATTGTAAATCAGATGCCCATTATTTCCAGAAAGGCAGAAAGAAGTGGGGTAACTGGTATTGCCAGGTCCCGCAATTTCAGTTCACATTCCTCATCCTTGCCTATGCTCACACTTCTCCAAAATATCTTTGGCAGTTTTTATTAGAAGACAAAAACTATGTCACTGGAAATGAGTCTCTGTGCCAAAGTGCCTTTTAGCAAAAAAAGAGGCTTTTTAAAAAAAAATGTTACAGTAATAATATTATAAAATAAAAAGGGGTCCCCTTCATTTTGGTTTCTTAGCAATGCTATGCAAAGAATTGAGATTCCTTGCCCTAAAGTTGCTTTGAATAACATTTTATGAGATGCACTTACATTCACATCAAGGCCTTTTTACATTCTTCAGCACCTATCCAAAATCTAGCTTCAAATAACTGTTACAATCTGATGTAATGTAGACAAGCATTTGTTAACTTTTGAAGGTCTAAAAGGTCAGTTTGCCATCTCTCTTAGTTTATAGGCTAAATAGTTGAAAGATGTATGGAAGAAAGTCTCCAAGATGTTTCAGAAATTTTTACTTTCTTAGTCTGTCTCTGGAGAGTGATGGCTGTGCCACATAAGTTGCTTGGTATGCAGTTACACAAACACTTGTGCAGTCAAATATTTCCTGTCATTAAAAGTTGGTCAGCTACTCACTTGTTAGAACACAACCTATGTTACAACAGCTTTATTTAACAGCTCTGGGCCAGCTTTTCTGCTTTCCTGCTGCTTCTGTTATTGCTTTCAAATATCTTGGTATGGTATTGTGCATGTATTACTGTTTTTCTTTGTTTTTCTTTTTATACTTTTTTCATTAACTCAAGTGACTACTATAAAATCAATATTTTTAGCAGATCTGGAAAAATCTGGAAAGAATCATTTAAAAATAAAAGGAAAGGAATTTTTAAAGTGGAGTCGATTCCAGCTTTTTTGCTAATTAGAATTATTTGTAGTTCTTTGTCATAATATATAATAGTGAAAATTATAGTTATTCATACATGAATTGTTAAAGTGAAAGTCTTAGCATGTTAATTAGTGCTATGCCACTAAAATGTATCTTTCTAAAATTTAATATCTTTCCATAATTAAATCCAATAATTAAAACAGTAGTATTTTGTTTCTGAAACCACAAATAATATTAGTGATACTTCAAGAATTTCTGTTGAAATACACAATACCTTCCCATATTTTATACTTTCTTTTTTTTAGTTCTGCGGAGTCTGAAGATTTAGCTGTTCATTTGTATCCAGGAGCTGTTACTATTCAAGGGGTCCTTAGAAGAAAAACTTTATTAAAAGAGGGGAAGAAACCAACAGTAAGTTATGAAATAAATTATTTAAAATGCTTTCAAAATTGGGTTTTCCTGTTTCAAAAATATGTTAACTTAATTCATTTTAATTAGATCACCAATGATTGCTCAAGCATTTGAATTACATACATCTCAGGTTGTTGAATATTTAGAAGTCAGTTGATAGAAAAACAGGATATACAACATATAAAACACAAATTGAGGCAGGATATCTTGTGACTTACTCAAATAATCTGTGCAGCTACCCCTCCAATCTACTACCTGTGTTTGGTATTGAAAACTTCCTGAGATGACAGTAGTTCATGTCCAGGAAATAGCTTTTAATTTTGGGGTCTTGGATATTAATGTACATTTGTTTGGGAACCTTCCACATCATCACAGCACAAAATTATTATATTACAGTATATGATGTAAATTACAGCTAACAATATCATAAAAGCCTCATTCTGCTTAGTTAATGTGTAAAATGAATAGGAGTTAAATATATACAAATTAAGATGCCATGGAAGATACATTTTGAATTTATTAACCTTGTGATTTTCTAATCGTGTAGGTAGCTTCTTGGACCAAATACTGGGTGGCTCTATGTGGAACACAGCTTTTCTACTATGCTGCAAAGTCTTTGAAGGCTACAGAGAGAAAACACGTGTGTACTGTATTCTTGCTTTTAGCTGAGAGGTATAGTTTTTGGCTGAAAGATACTTTTCAGCCTTTCAGTGTGAATGCTTCATATTCTGCAGCACTGAGCTGCAATATAAACTTGATCTTGTCAAAATATGCTATTCATTTGCTTCCTCTATTTTAACCTTGAGGTTTGTTGCAAGCAAGTTGTAGCAATTTTTAAAACTAATTCCAAATTCCTGCTGTAATTGTTGGAGAAAGGTCCATATCTAGAATCTGTACAAGGACTTTATAAATCCAGTTCAGTTTTTCTGTGCATGGAAGAATAGCAACTTGCAGCCCACACAAGGAGGTTCAAAGAGAAAAAGGTTTTCCATAATTGACATAAAACTTGCTTATGTGACACCTCTGTGGATCAAGATCCAGTCCCACGTTAACTCTGGGATATATAAAATAGTGTGTCCCTTTTGAGTTTACTTAATCTCTGTGTTGCATTACAAAAGCCAGCAGGTCAATTCTGCTCTGTTTGTTGCAGCCATTATTTTTAATGCAAATATTGCTGTACCCTTTTTGTTCTTATTTTCTTTTCATTGATATTCCCCCCACTCATACTCTTAGTTCAAATCTACACCAAGTAAGAATGTGTCAGTAGTGGGTTGGATGGTTATGATGGCTGATGATCCAGATCATCCGGATCTTTTCCTACTCACAGATTCTGAAAAAGGTCAGTAACATTAGTTAGTAGTGGTAATTTCTTGATTTAATCATCTTTAGAAATAACAAATCACCTTTGTCCAAATTGAACATTAAAACAGATTTTGTCCCCCAAATGGTCAAAGTCTGTTCAGCAAATCAGTCCAGAAAGTATTCCATGCTCTCCTCCAGTATTAACCCATTTTACTGATAATACTATATTCCATTTTGAAGGAGAACAGTGAAAATTGTCTGGACTTTTCATTTGGGATTTAAAGGATAGCTCTTCTCTGCTATTAGATATCAGTGGTTGTTATTAACTGTTAAAAGAAAATTAAATTTACCAGTCATTTTACATTCAACAGATACCTCTTCTCTGTGATTAGTTGTTAAATCAATTATAGTCTTCAATTTTCATTTTAGAATAGTTCAAAGTTATCACAGCTTCTGAAAAAAATGACTTATAACATGTATTTGCACTTATAACTGTCACAGCACCCCTACTGTCACATGGTTGCAATTTGGACAATTGGCATCTGGCTCATATCCTGCTCACATCTAGGACTGGTTGCAACATCCTGCAAATATATGATAATTATTTGTGTCCTTTGTTGCCAATTTCCAGCAAAAAATACCCATATGATTCATTTAATCACAGTGATTCACTTAATGTCCATTATAAAAATTGTTATAAAATCATTCCATTACAACCACCATAAATTACAATAGAAATTTTAGTCCCATTTTTTTATCCTAAATCAAGGATTCCTGTAGTTTTATTAGTGTAATACAAAACCTCCTTGGGGGTTAATTGTAGTAGTGAGCTGTGATGTAGCACATTGAATGGGGCACTAATTGTTGAAGAAGGGACTAAAAAGAATTACATACATTAATAGATATGTATTCATCTGTTGCTGGAAAGTCATTTCAATGTTTTAATCAAATTACCTTCTTTGAAAACAAGTATCTAAAGTCCCCCATAGAAAGAGTGATGAAGGGAATTCAGAATGCAAGCAATGTGAGGTTAGCTCTTAGTTTAATAAGTCATCTGACCTATATGGTCAAAATGGAGAAATGCTTGAGCTTCTGGCCTAGAATAATATTAAAGCAGCTCAGAAAATATCAGATGCCAGGTCTCAGGAGACTTTTGCCTTAGCAGATAAATGAGAAATTATAAGTGAATAATTTGTGACAGAGATGACTTTATACTGCAGATAAAATTGTACAAATAAAATAAGTCTTCATAGCTAATTTCATGAAAGAAATATTGGACATATGTTTACAATTCTATACTTTTCTTAGAGAAAATTCTTGATTGGCTGTATATTTTATCATATATTAAAAATACTGATAGTGTCCATTGCTAAATATATAGAAATAAAAATATTTTGTACGATAGGTCAAAGAAATGGCTACAAGATTTGCTCCAGAGAGTTAGGAGACTTTGCCAAGTGGATTTTGATAGTAGTCAAGTGAAAATAAATAAATTCAGTCAGTGGAAGCATATGATTGAAGACATTTGAAGACAAAAGAACTACTACAGCACAAAAGAAGCGAGTGCTCCACAAAGCCAGAGCTGCAAATGCTGCAACAATGGTGCCCACGCATGTCTGCATGACATGTGGCAGAACGTTCCGTGTCCATATAGACCTTACCAGCCATCTGTGGACACACCATGGACAGCCCACAACTTGTTAGATGTCAAGGTCCTCTTTGAACACAATGGATGAACATCATGATTGAATTCCATCCACTAGTTTTTTTAAAAAAAATATTTAATAGACAATACGAGATGGTTTTAGTTTTTAATGGAAAATTCCTCATTTTGTCATTTAGGGAATTCGTACAAGTTTCAAGCTGGTAACAGAATGAATGCAATGCTGTGGTTCAAGCATCTAAGTGCTGCCTGCCAAAGCAATAGACAACAGGTAAGAGAGCAAGAATTATGAAGTGATGCTTCAGTTGCCATTAAGACTTGAATATAAAGTGGTTCCTCACAAGATACAAAAAAACTTGTGTATTATTATTGCTCTGTCCCAACTCAGTCAGGGTGGGGGTGGGTTGAGGGTTCTTTTGGATTAGGAAGCAGGTGCACACCACTTCCTTAAGAATCCCTGCTTGGATTCAGTTGTGCTCAACAGCTATCATCCTGTCTCCATCCTTCCCTTTTGAGGGAAGACTGTTGAATAGTGGGGATTCAGCTGCCAAATGTTGTAGAAGTGGCTTCTAGGGACTCTTTCAATTTCAGTTTAAACCCAGGCATGGGATCAAGATAATATTAATCATTCTAATGTATTACCTTTGTTGGGAACTAAATGAGTGACCACACATCTCTTGGTCCTTTAGTCACTTAGCAGGCTTTGATACCATCAACCTATGGTATTCTAGACTGCCTCTAAGGGGTGGGATTGAAAGCATTGTTTCAGGTTCTTATCTTTCCTGCATTGATAGTTCTAATCAATGATTGAGGAGGAAGAAAGGTCAACCCAGTGATTGCTCACATGGGATACAGCAAAGTTCATTGGGCTTTCCCCTTCAACATCTATATGGAACTCCTGGAAGAGATCATTCATTAGTTTGTGGTACAGTAACATCTATATGCTGATTTATATTGCAACCCTGGGCTCATCAAGCGATTCCACTGATGACTTCATCTAACTTCTGGAACATGTTGGGAATTGGATGGAAACCAACAGATTACAGTTGAATCCATGCAAGACAAAGTTGCTATTTGTTCATTGCATTTCTCTTTTTGCTCTAGAGTTGCCTCTAGAGGGAGAAGCATTCAACTTGGAGTTCCTCTTGGTTACTGCTGGATTTGCAGATGGAGGCTGTGGCCAGGAGGGTCTTTGCCCGCTTTTGGTTATGTGCTGGTTGCACCTGAGCAGTAGATTCTAGCTAAAATAACATGCTCTTATGAACACTCATTTGGAGTTTTACAGTCTGTTTTATGTGGGCTCTCTTCAAAGAGGACCCAGAAACTGCAGTTGTTGGCACTCCTACATTGCAAGCCTTAGGTTGGCTACAATAGGTCTCCAAGCACAATTCAAATTGTGTGCTTTAAATTACAAACTTGCAGGACCAAATTCTTCAACCTGAAATGGACCTCTCTGAAGTGAAGTGAGGATAAATTAATCCTTCCTCTTCCTGTCCCCCTCCCCAGTAAATAAATAAGTGGCTCTGTGGGGAATAGAATAGTCCAAATGGAGCAAGCTTTGGACTCTCTTTTTGGAGATCTCTTCCACAGAGTATTTGGTAATAATAGTTCTTTGCAGAATAGATAGGATGATGCAGCTGGAGTAGTTTCTGAAATCATATTGTCCTGATTGCCTCTTTCACTGTCTTAATTAAAAGAAGCATAACTGTAGGGAAACTTGGGAAAATATTTCCCAAGAGAAATATTCAGCTTCTGCCTAAATACATCCAGTAAAGAGGAATACAATTGCCAAGTATTCTCTATCCCATACATATATGTACATATTATTTTTGAAAGAAATGTTAAATTTCCATCTATTTTCAGTGTGACTCCTTAGTTCCAAATTTACATCTGAAATATTCCCTCCAGCTTAATGATCTTCCAGATCATAATAAAAAAAAATGTCCCTGCATATCAAGTCCAGGATTGAATTCTGTGGCTTGATTTCTCTGGCTGAGGAGCCTTTGAAGAGCAATTTGAGTATACTTTTATGAAAAACAAAATAAGAACCATTAGGTCTTCATTCAAGGGTTCTCTCGTTCACCTCCCCTCTTTTGCACACTAATGTAAAGATATTGGAAACATCTGTTTTTGGTTTTTACTATAAGAACTATAATTTGTTTTTAAAAGAACAGTTTGAGAATAAGCAAGAATCAAAGGATAGTTACTGGTCTCAAACCATTCTTGAAATAAGTGGTATTTGTATAGGTTTAGTGCATTTGGAAGCAGCATATACAGGTGAAACTCAAAAAATTAGAATATCATGCAAAAGTTCATTTATTTCAGTAATGCAACTTAAAAGGTGAAACTAATATATGAGATAGACTCATTACGTGCAAAGCAAGATAGGTCAAGCCGTGATTTGTCATAATTGAGATGATTTTGGCTTACAGCTCATGAAAAACCTCAATCCACAATCTCAGAAAATTAGAATATTACATGCAATCAATAAAACAAGGATTGTACATAGAACAATATCGGACCTCTGAAAAGTATAAGCATGCGTATATACTCAGTACTTGGTTTGGGCCCCTTTTGCAGCAATTACTGCCTCAATGCGGCGTGGCATGGAAGCTATCAGCCTGTGGCACTGCTGAGGTGTTATGGAAGACCAGGATGCTTCAATAGCGGCCTTCAGCTCTTCTGTTTGGTCTCATGTCTCTCATCTTTCCCTTGGCAATGCCCCATTATCTATGGGGTTCAGGTCAGGCGAGTTTGCTGGCCAATCAAGCACAGTAATCCCATGGTCATTGAACCAGGTTTTGGTGCTTTTGGCAGTGTGGGCAAGTGCCAAGTCCTACTGGAAAATGAAGTCAGCATCCCCATAAAGCTTGTCTGCGGAAGGAAGCATGAAGTGCTCCAAAATCTCCTGGTAGACAGCTGCATTGACCCTGGACTTAATGAAGCACAGTGGACCAACACCAGCAGATGACATGGCTCCCCAAATCAACACAGACTGTGGAAACTTCACACTGGACTTCAAGCATCTCCATTCTTCCTCCAGACTCTGGGTCCTTGGTTTCCAAATGAGATGCAAAAGTTGCTCTCATCAGAAAAGAGGACTTTGGACCACTGAGCAACAGACCACTTCTGTTTTTCTTTAGCCCAGGTAAGACGCTTCTGACGTTCGTTGTTCAGGAGTGGCTTGACAAGAGGATTACGACATTTGAAGCCCATGTCCAGGATCCATCTATGTGTGGTGGCTCTTGATGCACTGACTCCAGCCTCAGTCCACTCCTTGTAAAAGTCCCCAACACTTTTGAATGGCCTTTTCCTGACAATCTTCTCCAGGCTACGGTCATCCCTGCTGCTTGTGCACCTTTTTCTTCCACACTTTTCCCTTCTACATAACTTTCTATTCACGTGTTTTGATACAGCACTTTGGGAACATCCAACTTCTTTTGCAATTACCTTTTGAGGCTCTCCCTCCTTATGGAGGGTGTCAGTGATGGTTTTCTGCACAACTGTCAGGTCAGCAATCTTTCCCGTGATTGTGCTTCCTACTGAACCAGACCATTTAAAGGCTCAGGAATCCTTTGCAGCTGTTATGGCTTAATTAGCTGATTAGAGTGGGACACTTTGAGCCTAGAATAGTGAACCTTTTCACAATATTCTAATTTTCTGGAATTGCGGATTTGAGCTGTAAGCCATAATCATCACAATTATGACAAATCACGGCTTGAACTATCTTGCTTTGCATGTAATGGGTCTCTCATATATTAGTTTCACCTTTTAAGTTGCATTACTGAAATAAATGAACTTTTGCACAATATTCTAATTTTTCGAGTTTCACCTGTAAATCTCAATCTTGTCTCTATTTGATTACATAACAGGAAACTAGGACTTGATTTCTAAACTTGAACTTAAGTTATACCTCTAATTTTCTTTACAAAATTATTTCTTCTGTTGATAGGTTCCTGCCAATTTGATGACTTTTGAGTGACCATCTACTGCAGAATTAGATCCAAGAATTTGATCCATCCACTTTTGAATGCTATTTCATGGTTTGAGAAGTCCTGTTGAAGGCATGCCAGCTGTACTTCTGACTAGGAAGTAAACAGAAGTTCTGAATAAAAGCACTAAGATTTCAGGGAATGGAATGTGACATGAACTACCATGAGGCTTGCTGCTACTCAATATTCTCTGAACTGACTTGTGGAAACCACTGCCTTAAAGAATGAAAGGTTATCCAACATGAAACACCAAATTTGTGTGTGTGGTGTGTGTATGTATACGTGTGTGAAACCTCTGGTGGTGCTGTGCTTAGGTTAAGTAGGTTGTAGCTAGTTTGAATTTGTGTTCACTTTGTAACATTTTAATTTTAAAGCCCTGCTTTTTGCAGTTTTTCTTGTTGTAAAAAAGGAGTACATCTGAAACTTAAGGGTGTTTCAAGGGGTATTTGTGCAAGGGGATAGCCTGTGTTTTCTTGAAAAATATGCAGCTTATATCTGTGTCCCTCTGTATTAGCTCTTGTGCTCAGCTAATTGGGGACACGATATAATTAGTTTAGCTTAGAATGTAACAACTGTAATATATGCAAATTTATCTTTTTATAAAGCACTGACTTTGCAGAATTTGATACTACATGAGGTTTTTCTTTTCTGCAAGTGACACAACAGCCAATATCATATTCATTCAAGGAAGCTCTGGGAAACATCAGGAGGTCAGAACTGAGAATTTAATCTCAACATATTTTCAGACAAGACACCCTCATTTCTCCAAGAAACAGTTTACATGTGCGTTGTATGCTTTTCCACAAGCACATTTACCCCTGAAAATCTTCATTACTGCCTATTAAATATTGTTTTACAGATGAAAATCTTATATTTTCCTTCTTGTAAAAGAAGCACATGATTAGAAGTTTTCTGTTTCTTTTGTGTCAGAGCTAGAAACCATATCTCTGTAGCATAAATTTATTTGTATATGGTTTGCAAAAGTCACCTTTTGCATAATCAGAAAAATCTGCCACTAAAAAGATAAGCCACTGATGGGATTAATTACAAGTAGGTTTAGTTTAGTGTAAGAAAAGATTTCACATATTTCCTTAAAAACCAGCCTACCACCACGTGAGATAATTTGTAAAAAAACTCATGCTCTGAAAATTTGTGTTACTATGATAGCGTGATACTTTGAACTAGACAATTTCAGAGCCTTCACATGGTAATAATTTGATCACAGGAAAACAAGGTCAGTTGAAATCAACTCCATCAGTGCTATAGTCCAGTTATTAAGAAAATATATATAGACTGTGGTTATAAAGAATAACTCAAATGCATGTGAGTAGAATGTCATTGGTTCATGTATCTAAAGGATATGTTTTCTAAAAGGCTTTTTCCTGCTAGTGGGATGGGCAGAAATGGCAGCTATCCACAGAAGGAAATAATAAGGTTGACATAAAACTTTCATGCAAAGTACAATGAAAAAATAGGAACTTTAAAATTATCCACTTTTAAAATCTGTTTCTGTTGTTCCTGCCAAAAAGTTCACAATATACTTAAATTCTGGATTCTTAATTCTTCTGAATTAATACTCAGTTCTGACCTTATAGTGGTATTTGTTATAAAAGGAGACCTTCATGTTCTTGACTTGCTTAGTTTACATATTTGCCAATAAATGACATAGGATGTTTCATGGGAACATCTTTATAGCCAGCAGTATTACTGTATAGAGTTTGCACAATTTAATTTTCACTTTTCAGAGTTTAAAAAAAGCATCCCATTTTTAATGTTGTGGAATGGAATCCTGTGGAATTTGTTTGTTCTAAAAAAGCACGGAGGAAAAAAGAATTGTATAGATAGACCTATCCACTTCATCACCATTCTTCTGAGTAGAAAGATGCAACTGCAAACCACAGCTTCGCTAGGTATAGAGTTTTGAAAGATAAAAGATCAGCTCATGCCAGCTTTACACATGATGTCTAATATAGTTAATCTTGGCATGCTGAATGAGTACTTTTGAACATTTACGATATTTGATTGAGATCATAGAACATATTTTCTGAGATACATCAGTTTTGAAGCTTACATAACATTTTCACAACTAATTCGTTATGTCAAAATGTTTCTCAAAAGGAAATGGATGGTTTGGAAAGGGAATAAACACAAAAATAGGCACAAGAATCAGCTCAAAACCAGGTTGGGAATTTGTTTTTGCCCAATAGACTAAATACCAAAAGCAGCAAAAAGTAGTAAAAATGGAAATCAAATATAAATTCATCTGTTTAAAACCTTTACTTAGCCTATTTCCTGTAAATAGCAAATAGGGGTATTACGCATTTACAGCTTTCGGCTTTCTCATACATGTTTTACAGTTTTTGTGTTGCAGTTTTTGTATTTTGGTTTGATTTAATATATTTGAAAAAAATCTTTCAAGCCTTGAACCATTCCAGATGTTATGATAGTTTTAAAGGTTGCATTTGTAAAAAAGATCTATTTAATTTCTAACCATTTGCTTCATTCATCAGTTAAATCTCATGTAAAATTTTACAATTCATACTATTAATATGTTTTAATAATTAACAATATGTATCAGAACATCTAAATGCTGTTCGAGTGTGAATGAAGCATTTTGCTTGGTAGTACAAGTTTCTTCTAAATAATTGAGCTAAATACATAGATGCTAATACTATCAGGTATTGGTTTTTCATAATAATTAATAGAAAATAGAATGAGTGCCATTTTTACTATAACAAAAAACACTGGATTTTTGGTATATAAAGACATATTTCACTAAAATATATTTTTAATATTTCATCTAAAAACAAATCAAGTTGCAAGAAATGTTTAATTCTAAAAGACAAGATCTGTTACAAGAAACACTAATCTGGCTAGTACAACTGTAGAATGCCTTATATGTCTTCATTTCATACACACACACACACACACACACACACACACAGAGTGCTTCTTCATCGTGCATACTGTAAATGAAGAACCTCTATTGCATATGCCCAACTGAGCCTCAGTTAAATCAACTTTCTAATTTCCTCTCACTTTTATAAAATGCAGGGGTCATGTGTTCTGAGTATCTACTCATTATTATGAAAAGTTGATAGCAATTAACCAGATTTCAGTTAGCCCACATGAAGCTGGTTGAATAATACTGTCAGACTACTTTGTCAAATCTCAGCTAAGAAGATTTTCCTTGTAATGAAATTGTAACTTGCACTGCTTCACACACATATGATCCACACACACTTTTCTATATAAAGACATGGATGAAGCTGCTTTTCAGAACACATTAGATGAAATGAAAGATCTTGTTTCAGCTATTTATCTAAATAGTATTTGAAGATAGATATTGTTATAGACATATTATTTTCAAATAGGGTTGAGTGAGCTTTTTGATTTCTTCCTAATTTAATGGCATTCCTGTACCTTTGTGTCAGATCAATCAAATATGTTGCAAATTAGGTTTCTTTGTAATGCAAGCATCAAGTGGCTCAAGTTGCATCTTTCTTTCTCATTTTTGTGTGCATTGCTTTTTTCAGTTTGTTACCATTCTTAAATCTAATTTTCTAATTTGGAATATTTTATGAAAACTTGAAGACACTAAAATTTGAAGTAAAGACTTGTAAAGTTCTTTAAAGTAAAGTTATCTGCCTAGGTTTGGGGTTTTTTGAGTCACACTCTTTACCTATTTAAAAATGGCTTGTATCCAACCTTAAAATGTACATTTAAAAATAAGACAGGAACGGAATATTCATTCAGAGGAGTGTAACATTTCCTGCTCATCATGAGGTGAGCATTTTATATCTGTATAAGATTTTTTGCCAGTGCCTTAATTACCAGTTTGAAAGACCAAGGTGGCAATCCACCCAAGTATTATTTCTATGCATTCCACTACTCATGTAAATTGGGCTTTGCAGAAACTCCAATTAAATAACTGGAAATCTTCAGCCAGTAGAAAAGCTCAATTTTTCTTAGCTTATTTCCACTTTGAAAGTCAAGCTTTATGTTTAGTAGACCCAGTAAAAAACCTCTTAATTTGAATACGTTTCAGTTCATTGGTTTTATATAAGGAATTTTTATGCATTTGTGAGCCAGTTCACACTTTTGCATAAACTCCTCTCTCTATATATAGATATATATGTCCTAGGCAACAGGACTAGGCAATGGAAGCTTCAAGTATTCCTTCAGACCCTCCTCTCTCATCATCCTCACCAATGTTAAGATCTTGCCATAGAAGTGCAAATTTCACAGAATCATCTAATTAATTTTGTAAAAATCCATTTTGAAACTGCAAGATAGAAACCAGTTTTTTAAAAATCAGTCATACATGAGGAGTTGATATGTTTCTTTTTAAACTCTATAATATCTGAATTTTGAAAAATAAATTTTCAGCAAGAATAAAAAACTTAAATTCTGAAGGCCATGACTATTAGCTCTCTAGATTAATTTTTCCACATATGGAGGAGAACTGAACAACAGGATTTATAATTGAATGCAATTTAAATAGCAAGATTTAAGTCTTTTGCAAAGATACTGGACCATACACAGACTATTTATAGTGGAGATTGTGAAAGTATATTACAGTCTAAGGTTTTTCACAACTTTCTGAAACAAAGCTGCAAACATATCAACATGTTTCTTGAGTTTGGGTGTCATTGAAAATCTAAAATGAAATGTGTCCAGAGCCTCTTCTTTGCAATGGACAAATAGGCACCTTCTTTCCCTGAAAAAAATATTTATTTTTATTACTAATTAATGTGCTTACTTTACCATAAACGTATTAGAAGATAAGTGGAAAAGGGAGATTTTAGTGAATTTTTGTCTTTTTGTATCCCTTAATAATAACATAATTTATGGTTATTCACATCTTTATGAACTCCACATATGTAAAAACACGCAAAGTCTACATTATGCTACACACAAGCCATTTTAGTATATTTTCCTCCATTTGACCTCAAGCACTATTTTGATGGGGGTAAATGCACTATGACCTCTATGAGTGATGTGCAGGTTAGCTGTTACTTGTCCTTTTTTCTTAGTTTTTTTAAATATTTTACCACATGTGTATGTTTCAACTGTGTGTTTCCATAAGCTGTTTCAAGATAGCTTAATGTATGAACTTAAAATGGATTTTTTCCTACTGAAATAAATTACTTAAAATTTGGTTTCTCTGTCTTTTGCATAATCATGCTATGTTGCAGCAGATCTTGGAGATGGAGCCAAATTTCCTCAAATGGAATGACATCTCGGATCAATTGTAATTTTGCTGTCGTGGTAGTTTTCAGCACAGTGGAAAGTAATATGGAAACATAATATTGCCAATTGTTGGGAAAAGAAAGTATTCTTCTTTATAACAGTGCACTTTAAAACTTGGCGTGTATAGTAATGTGGTTGAAAAAGTCTATAAAATCTTACTGAAAGTATTGCAAGGATAACATCTGAAAACACTGGAATCAAAATTGTAAGAGTGTGATTTTGGAATATTTGAACAATGGCAGAGTAGTGTTTCCAAAAGGATAGAGTTCAGAGAAGCTACAAGAGTCTTTCAACAAAGCATTCTTCCAAGAAGGGGTTTCAGTGATCATAGCAACCCACTGTATTCATCCCAGACAGTATTTATTCAGAATGTTTATACCCTGCACCAGTTTGAAAGGACTCTATAACAAAAAGGAGTACACCAA